AGCGAGACGAACGTATACACGGACCTTCATTAAGCTGTTTACTTTCCTTAAAAACCAAACCAAACCAAAAAAAAAAAAAAAAACCCAAACAAACAAAAATACGTTTTACATGACAAAAGAAGTAAAGTGTGACATGAAATGTTTACATACAAATTATACCTGCTCACCTGTTAGCAGCAGGCACATCCACTTAGGTTTTCCAGTAAAAAACAAAATTATTTATGCAATTATGAAAAAAGGTATATTGAAATTCATTTTTAAAAAATGATCATTTCTGTTAACACAGCCACATCAAGTCCCATCTTAAGTATTTGATGTTTTTTAAACGACAAAGTTTATTTATTTATGTATTTCTTTTTTTTTTTTAATAATTGGCCAAAGGAAATACTGTATAAATTTGAATCTTTTTATTAGATTGTCGAAGGTTTAAATGCAAATAATCTCATGATAATGACACCTACATGTTTAAATCAAATGCTGAAACAGTCGACCAGCAGTGCAATCCATCAAATTATACAGAACACATTAGGCACCGTCTCAAAATGTATTTCAGTTTTTAAAAAACGCATAAAATACGAACGTGAAATAATACATTGGCATAATAATGTGCTAAATGGTATAGAAATGTGACCCTTCCCCCACGTATAAACGTAATAAATACAGTAAACATTTATATTAAAACACAGTTAGGTGGTAACTCTGCTGCTTTCGTGTCCCACATGACGACGTGATTTGGTCGAGCGTCGCTCATCCCTCGGAAATGTCGTTTCATGTCAGCCAAGAGCTGTTATTCAAGTTGTAACCACAAGAGGTCAGAAATGCACCATTGTCTTTAGCCTGGTTAATGTCACTGGACTGCTGTGGTAGCTTGCCGATGACATATCGCTGCAAAGTGTGAGTCATTTAGTATTTCATTTTAATAATTTAGGAAATAAGACATAGCACCTGAGGATGGTAAACATTCATTAATTCCTTAAATGATCCTTGGGGCTCCCATTTGGCAATGGAGCAGCAATTTAACTGTTGTAGATTATGTATACACTGATGAAAAACATCCTTTTCAGACTTGACAACAAAAACAACAACATAGCTAATTCTACTTTGCGCCAATGTGATAAAGAACATGAAACAAAAATGGACAGTTTGCCTTATGTGGAAGCTCCAATTACCAGTGGAGCTCCATAACAGTCAATCTTTATATTTGTGAAGCAATATACTGTAGATCTGACAATTAATCGCCAAAAGTGGTCATCATGTTGCCCACATTTGGTCTGTAGTAGCAATAAAAATCTTTCCTCTGGGAATTCGGAGGTTTGCAGGTCTAATTTCCAAAACAAGAGTGTGTGTGTGTGTGTGTGTGTGTGTGTGTGTGTGTGTGTTAACTTTAGGCAGTCTGTATCATCCATCATCACTCTGAATGAATTATCTGTTATTTATTTTTTATTTTTTTGCAAATTTCAAATGAAACCATCTTTTGTTACCTAAATAAATGGTGATGAATTGTGGTGTTCTGCAGTTGGCAGTGCACACATCTCCATCCTGTTTGCTCGTGAGCAAAGCTCATGGCAATGTACTGCAACACAATATGACCAACATCATTAACAGAAGAAACTCTGTGTTATGGAATCGTTATGGGTTAAAGTGAAGACACTCACCTCAGAGATAAGTGCAGTAATCCTGCACATTTCCCACAGTGTCATACCACTGCCACCTCAATGCTTACCCATGTTGGAGAAACAAAACAGCAAACTAAGACATAGCACCTGAGGATGGTAAACATTCATTAATTCCTTAAATGATCCTTGGGGCTCCCATTTGGCAATGGAGCAGCAATTTAACTGTTGTAGATTATGTATACACTGATGAAAAACATCCTTTTCAGACTTGACGACAAAAACAACAACATAGCTAATTCTACTTTGCGCCAATGTGATAAAGAACATGAAACAAAAATGGACAGTTTGCCTTATGTGGAAGCTCCAATTACCAGTGGAGCTCCATAACAGTCAATCTTTATATTTGTGAAGCAATATACTGTAGATCTGACAATTAATCGCCAAAAGTGGTCATCATGTTGCCCACATTTGGTCTGTAGTAGCAATAAAAATCTTTCCTCTGGGAATTCGGAGGTTTGCAGGTCTAATTTCCAAAACAAGAGTGTGTGTGTGTGTGTGTGTGTGTGTGTGTGTGTGTGTGTGTGTTAACTTTAGGCAGTCTGTATCATCCATCATCACTCTGAATGAATTATCTGTTATTTATTTTTTATTTTTTTGCAAATTTCAAATGAAACCATCTTTTGTTACCTAAATAAATGGTGATGAATTGTGGTGTTCTGCAGTTGGCAGTGCACACATCTCCATCCTGTTTGCTCGTGAGCAAAGCTCATGGCAATGTACTGCAACACAATATGACCAACATCATTAACAGAAGAAACTCTGTGTTATGGAATCGTTATGGGTTAAAGTGAAGACACTCACCTCAGAGATAAGTGCAGTAATCCTGCACATTTCCCACAGTGTCATACCACTGCCACCTCAATGCTTACCCATGTTGGAGAAACAAAACAGCAAACGTTCATAAATAAGAAGCCACTGCACACATTACTGGTAAACATTCAGAGATTGGAAGGAAAGTTTGTGGAAGAGTACAAATTCCTGAGCGTTGACCTCAAGAACATAAAATAAAACAAGATTTCTTCAGTATAAGTGGTTTTTGTTTTCTTTCATATTTTTATGTGTTCTGCTCATGAACCTGCAGTTTATTTTAGCAAATAACTGTTCTCAAAATGAGAGCACGTTTTTTTCTTTAATTCTCATATTGTTCGTTCAAATACATTTCAATGCAGCATCACAGCCATGAATATTGAGCTACACTGAACCCCCCCCCCCAAAAAAAAACAAAAACGGTGTCTTGAATTCAATTTTATTTTGTCAAGTGGTTGCATGAGGGCGGCACGATGTTCGACTTGCTAGCGCGTCGGCCTCACAATGCAGAGGTGCAGGGTTCGATTCCGACTCCGGCCTTCCTGTGTGGAGCGTGCAGGTTCTCCCTGTGCCTGTGTGGGTTTTCTCCGGGTACTCCGGTTTCCTCCCACACTCCATAAACATGGGTGGCAGGTTAATGGAACACTCTTGTCCATAGATGTGAAGGTGAGCACGGATGGTTGTTTGTCTCTGAGTGCCCTGCGATTGGCTGGTAACCAGTACCCCTCATTCTGTCCAAAGATAGATGGGATAGGCTCCAGCATGCCCTGCGACCCTTGTGAGGATAAAGTGGATCGGAAAATGGATGGATAGATGGATTCTTCTTCTGTTTTAATTCTTCTGAGTAAGTCACATGGTCTGATCACTGATGAGCTATTTTGAGAACAGACCCTTGGGCTACTTATGTTGTTCTTGCGGGCTAAATTGTTTCCGCTGGTACCATTTTTTTAAGGACAATGCACATTAATCTACAGAGCAAAAAAGTCTTTTTCCAAATTAATATGATGGATTTAGCACAGCGGACACATCTCCCTCATTCATCTGTAGGGTGTGTGTCATTCCTCCCTTTCTGCTCAGCTGGCATGGAGGAAACAAAAGTGGCTGGCCTCTTGTCAATACCGTCATCGAGGTGGATTATTTAATTTGCAATTTCTCATCTCTGCAAGCAGCCAATCCTATTGCAGCAGGATGTGCCCTTTTTAGAAGTCCTCTTATGTGAGGTTTAGTAAATTGCATTTGGAAGACGAATCGGAAGTACCTGTACATTTAGAGAGTGTGCTTGCAGTTATTTGGTATGTATGTTGTCTATTTAGTGGTGGGAGTCAATATTTGTTAAATGGTTTAGCAGCAGCGACGCTGACTATACGGGAACTCTGCATCATGGGAAAAAGTCAGTGGTGCTTTTGACATTGGGATTTCTGATGATTGTAGTGCTTGAGCTTGGACTAACAAATACATCATTCCAGCATGGCCACTGAGCAATGACAATAGAAAGTCTGCTCTTGTGCGACCAGTCGGCCTGGTATGCAGGACAATGAATGATGCTCACTGTAGTGCTGGAATGACCCCCTGCTGGGACAAACAAAACAGAGTAAGGGCAAAAGACACACACCATTGCAGTCAATAATTTTAACACATTACTCTATGTCTCGACCACTGTACCGTGACTTAAGCCGAGAACACACTTAACCATCCAAACATCTTAACAACAGGAATATCATTCTTCTCCAAATCTGTCGAGTCATTAGTTTTACGTTCCTCCATGTCGCTATAGTTTTAATTCATTATTCTTATATTGGTTCCTCAAGGGGAAATTCCACTCACTATCCAATGTATACTTTGTGCACACTGAAATACGTCACACACATTGTCCATAAAGAGAGATAGGGTGAAAGGTGTGCATAGTGTTGCACCATTTGAGCTGGTAGGTGGGGGCAAGGGTACATCGACAGTACCCAGCAACCAAACTACCATTTCAAGTCCTTTCTTCAATACTAACGGACAGTTTTCTTGTAATCAAAACCGCGGTTGACTGGTTAGAGAAAGCAGTAGATTGTAGACATGTGTTTTCAAATGTGGAGGGGAAAAAGTAAACAAAAATATACGGAATTAAATATATGTACTGAAATGCAGTAACTTCGTATTTGTACTTGGTTACTTCGCACCGCTCGGACGTTTTGTACCAAACTATGCAATTGTGTGTGTGTGTGTGTGTGTGTGTGGGGGGGGGGGGTCCTCATGCCACCGCGCACGTGCTGCCCAACGCTCGTGTTTTCCCACGCGGCCGCGAAGCAGCATGGACAAAAATGAAAACAAAGACGGCGGTGGTCTATGGCAGTCACAATTCAGAATATTTTCAGCAAACTTTATACCATTTGTACTAAATAATGGCGTCGAATATGCTCTACCGGCGCTCTATTTTTAAAACAAAACACTTGTCTGTGAGCATTGAACTGACAGAATCACTGCGAGTTGGTTTGGACCGTCAACCAATCAACATCAGTCTTTTGTCGTACGTAAGCGGAAAACCACGCCCCTTGTCCTGTGCTCGCTGGAACATTTTGTTTTTTGAAGCTAATTTACTTCCACACTTGGTCCACCAATGGCATTCCGCTGACTTTGCAACGTTAACTGGACCTTAAATCTTACAGGAACGTTACGAAACGGGCGTCAAGGCGTCAAATTCGATGAGTTTGGAGTTAAAGTAATGAAATGTAAACACGCCCACCATTCATCCAAATTTCATCTAAAAATTAAATCATGGATGTTTGCGACGGGAAAAAGAAGAGAAAGGTAAGCGGCGGTGGCAATTGCAGGCGAAATGTGGCCGGGAAGGCGAAAAGAGAGCCGGCTAAAGTCCTCCGCTCCCTCACGGTGGAGGACAATAACAAATACCGGGAGCCCATGGAGGAAGAGGACGACGACGACTGCTTCTCCATTAGCTTCCTCCGGACAGTTCGGCCAGAGCCTGCCGTGCTGGTGCCTCTGTCGGTGCCACCGAGATACACTCTGATCCGGGAGGTGGGCCGGGGTAGCTACGGTGTGGTGTACGAGGCCATAGCCCGGAAAACTGGAGCCAGGCTGGCCGTGAAAAGGCTCCAGTGCGACGCCCCGGAGAACGTGGAGTTGGCTTTGGCCGAGTTCTGGGCCCTTACCAGCCTGGAGAACCGACACCAGAATGTTGTGCAACTGGAGGAGTGTGTCCTGCAGAGGAATGGCTTGGCCCAGAAGATGAGCCATGGCAACAAGAGGTCCAAACCATACCTGAGGCTGGTGGAGACCTCACTGAAAGGTACAGAAATCACTGGCATTTCTTGCTTTTTTACTGTGGGGACACCCCCTTAAAAAAACTATATTTCATATCAAAACTACCAACCTATGATCAAACGAATAACATGAGTAAAGTTATTACGCTGTATTTTGCTCCCAAGTTCAAACTGAAGTAGTTGTTATTATAACAACATAAATTCATTGTTCTAAGTGAATCATGTTTATGCACATTGCACTGAAGCAGAGTTGCAGTTTTTCAAACATTATTCCCCATCTATACATGTCTGGTATGTACAGTATGTAACCACAATGCCCACCACAAAAATAAGAATCCCCTGAACACTGAACACTTATTTGACGTGTCACTCTCGCATCAAATTTTTATATTTTATTGTATGTGGTATAGGTTGTATGTTATCAGGTTTGACCTACTTCTCACTGTGTGCTTTTGTCCTGGCTCAGCACTCTAAAATCTCCATATGTATGCTTTTCTTTTGATATCTTGTCTCTTATGTAAGAATGTCAAATTTATCCCAAGAGTGCCTTCTTTGGAGCCATCAAGACAAAATGGAGTCAGTAGAGTTGGATCACATTGCAAAGACTGAATGGGCATCTTAGGTGTTAATGCAGTCACAGTTTGTTACCACTGCTAAAATTCAACACTCACACCTCTGCGAACACATTTCGTGTTCATATGTAACTACTCCCAAGTTAAAAAAAAAAGAGGAAAATCTTTCAATTATTAAAAATTAGGAAAAAATGACCACAATGATTAACTCTCATTCCTAAAACTTGCACTTGAACCAAAAACAATCACCATTCATGTTCATGTCCTGTTCATGCCAACTTTATTGTCAAATGTGCTACATGTGCAACATACCGCACAGATGAAATTTCTTTCCTCAGGAGAGAGAGGAGCCGCTGCGGATGCCCACGCCGCCATCAAAAGAACAGTTAACATAAAATAACAAAATAATACAACACAACACAAGACACAGACAGTCGTGCAATCTTAACCGCTTTTCTGCATACACTTTGTTGTTTGAAGTAGTTATAGATGAAAGAGGAGCGAATCAAAGTGTCCTTTCACCTGTGGATCAAAGACGCCATGCTGAAAATGTGCACACGTCTGCTACAAGCTAAGTTTGAAAGCAAACATGAAGCTGTTGTGTCCACTGATGAAAAAGAGATTGGCTCACATCTCCTGTCCCCATGTAAATCCGCTTCAATGCCCACCCGCGACTCCCAGTTCCACATATGCATCGGCGTTCTGCGCTGACGCGCCTTTCTTCTCATCACATGATCACATCACATGATAACCGTCATTCTCATTCAGAGAGCTGTTTGGAAGTGACTTTTTATTTCTTTAGCACATATGAAAAATGTGGACATTTCATAGTAAAAGGTGGCAATTCAGTCCAAACATATTACCTTAGTTCATAAAGGTGTTTTGCACCGGGTGCGTTACAGTTTTGTCCTCAGTGAAATGGTTTGTTGTCACTTGCGTACAAATGTAGTAAACAGTGGAACTTTCAAAATCAAACACATTGTGAGGCACAGGTTGACTTCCAAATTGTTGTAATTTCAAAACAAAAGCTCCCAAAGGAACTGTTCAGTGAAAGAATTTGTTCCGGGCTCAAATTTGCATTTAATTGTCATGTGATGTTTTAAGTGACATTTTTAACAACTGTCATGGAAGTTGAAAGAAACGTTGACTACTGTAGAATACAGAGAAGTAAAACTATTCTGTCTTTAATGGGTTGATATTGTGGAAAAATTTCTTTTTAATGACTTGTATATATGTAAATTGTTTGGTTTCTGGAGTGCACATGTTCACCCATCCACTGTGAATCACATCGCGTCAAATGAAGCGTGTGAGCTGTGTCCAAAGTGGACCTCGTTTGGGACAGTCAACTTTAGAGGTTTCATTCTACTTTCTTTTATTTTCTCTTTGTCGTTTGGCAACTGTTATTCTGTGAATGATCTTGAAATCTACTATCAAAACTACCCTAATTACTTGAATCATCTATCCATGACAGGTTAGCTTCCAGCAAAAGACCGCATGTCTTCTGAGTTACATTCTAAAATGAAATGAAATTGCTAACATCGCTGCCTTTTGTCATGCTAAACATTGCCAAGAGCGGCAGTATTCACTTTTGCGCAATGTTACATATATTGGCAGAGTTTCTGTCATTTCTTACATTCTTGCGGCTACCGCAGACCAATTAGAAAAGACATTGTTGTCACGTGGTTTGTTCTGACATTTTGAATGGTTTGGAATATTTACAGTGTCAGAAGGAAGCCAGTGAGTGGCAAATCCCTCGAGTGTCCACACCCGTCATTAAATTTAGACAGTAGAAAGCAAAATAAAGGCGTGAAAGCACCTGTCGACATATTGCAAAAGTCTGTACTTTTTCCTGCATGGCCTCCAGCTCTTAATTTACAAGCCTTGAAGACATTTCTTTAACTTTTTCATCTGTCTCCTTCTCTGAGTCGCATAGTTGGTTGAAATTCAGCTTGGTCCCACAACACCATGCACTGTTTGGGTGTTGTGTTATGTACGGTAGTAAACCCGACTCCTGACTGACTGCATGTGTTCTTTATCTTTTTCTGCCTATGCAGGGGAACGCATTATAGGGCAGCCGTCTGAACCGTGTTACCTCTGGTTTGTCATGGAGTTTTGTGAAGGTGGTGACCTCAATCAGTACGTCCTGTCTCGTCGACCGGACCCCCAGACCAACAGGAGTTTTATGCGCCAGTTGACAAGTGCTGTGGCTTTCCTGCACCGGAACAACATTGTTCACAGGGATCTGAAGCCAGATAACATTTTAATCACACAGAAATCCGGTTCACCGGTTCTTAAAGTAGCTGACTTTGGCTTGAGTAAGGTTTGCGCGACCGTCAATTCGAAGAACGCTGAGGAGTTGCCCGCTGCAGGTGTTGGCAGCAGAGGGAGCAACCAGAACAACATTGTCAACCTCAACAAGTTATGGTTGTCCTCTGCGTGCGGGTCAGACTTCTACATGGCCCCCGAGGTGTGGGAGGGCCACTACACGGCTAAGGCGGATATCTTTGCCTTAGGCATCATCATCTGGGCAATGATCGAGCGGATCACTTTCATTGACGCCGAGTCCAAACGGGAGCTGCTGGGCACCTACGTACGACAAGGCTCAGAGATTGTGCCTGTTGGCGAGGCCTTGTTGGAGAACCCCAAGATGGTCCTCCACATTCCTCAGAAGGCCAGGAGCTCCATGTCAGAAGAGGTGAAGAAACTCCTCCAGGAAATGCTTGCGTTCAACCCTCAGGAGCGACCCGACGCCTGTCAGCTGGAGGTGCTGATGGACCGGGTCACGTGTGCCGCGTGAGCGCCCCAACTACTCAAACCCTTTCCCTTTTTCCCCACTCCAACTAGTCAAAAAAGGTACCTCTTTATTTCCCAGGTAAGATCATCTCTCTTACCAATCTGATATTGTTTTGTTTTACGATCAGATATTGTCACATGTGTGTGTTACCTATTGGGGGTAAAGTCATTTGGATCTACACAACTAAATCAAAACCAAAAAATGCTTGCAAAAGGCAAGGAACAATAAAAAACGAAAATTGATAGTCAACTGAAAGGACAAGAAAATCCAATATATGGCCGAGAATACAGATCAAAGAAAATACTAGAACAAAAATACTATGAACTAACAAGGCAAGGCTATGAGGCTAAAATGCCAAGACTGTCTGGAAAATTAGGCACTTGGAGACAGAGTTGTGAGCAAGGCTAATAATCCGACAGTCAGAGTCCAGATTCGTGTGCTTTGGGTGTGTGTTTTTTTTTTTTTTTTTTTTAATTCATTAAATTTGGTATGCTTTTCTCTGTGGTGTGTCAAAAATTGTAAGCCATTTTTATTTTCGTCTTATTTACTTGCTCTAATAATTTATTAGTGATCATGATGGGCAGCAGCTGGTAGTTTCTATTAAAATCCAAGGAAAGACAGCTGGGATGGGCTCCAGCACCCCCCGCGACCCTAGTGAGGATCAAGCGGTTCGGAAGATGTATGTATGTATGTATCATATGTAAAAAGACCAAAGGGTTTTTTTTTCTTTTTGCGGCCATTTCTTGTCAAATGCAGATTGTGCGATGTTGAAGTCATAAAGTTATTTCATTAACATTATATTTAAATTCCAAATCATACAACTTCAGATGAATCCAACATTGGAATTTCCACTGTATTTGCTTGCTTCAGTGGCAACTTTTTCTTCTGTTAGTTGGTGAATGACGTGACAGTGTCAAGGTTAAAGGTACTGACTCAGTAGAAAAGCGCCAAGATAACCAGCAAGTGCAGCAAAAATTCACACCTTTGAGAGAGTGGATGTGTATTTAGACCCAAACATCAGGATGTTTGTTTAAACTAAAACAACTGTCAAAGTTTGAGCTTGACCGTGTATGACAGTTAGCTCTCAGATCATGCCATGAACCCCCTATTGTAAAAGACCTTATGACATAACACCTCTCATCCCCCAAACCACGTGTGATTGCTGATGCACTCTGAGCACGCCATTGTGTGCTAGAATCTAGCTTCTCCGGCTTAGTTCTCTCACAGCATGATGAGAACGCACGTTATGCAACAGGCCTGCATGGCTGCAACTGGTTCAGTCAGAAACATGTCATCAGCACCGAAGGGATTAGGGCTGTAAACGTTGACGGCGGGAGGTCACATCTTTGTGCTGCCCGGTGGTATTTATGGCACATGTAGGTTAACTCGTGGTATAGCTAGCAACGGTACACTCACCCTTCAGAGGCCAGTAATGGGATTTAAAGAAAGGGACCAAAGAGACGTCACACAAATGAACAGAAAAAGTAATTCTCAGTTTTGCTATTCATTGTGTTTTGATGAAGCACAAATGCAAATTTTGACTGGCAAACTGCTTTTGCTGATTATAATAATTGGGCAAATTCCAGCTATGTACCTTATGTCGATGCCTCCTCTTCCCCTCCCAGGAGTTAAATGATTATTGGTAGGTTCTTCCCGCATAAGCACACACGGAAGAGCAGTTTACTCTTTAAATTAAACAGAAACATCCCGAACCAGCAAAATATAACAAAACCCTACTTGAAATGACTGAAAAAAATGTTGCAAAGTTGTGGAATGGTGTCATGAGCGCAAAGATGGACGTTTTTGGCTAAAATGTGAAATGGCACTGCACATTCGCCGCAGGACCATTAGAGCACCATAACCATGGTCCAATGAAGGACAGTGATTTCCGCACTACTCAAGTGATACAATAGGTGAAGTCCCCTTGGCAAAATGCTGCTGACTTTGCACCCATTGTATGCATAGTTGTCATTAGCAGACACACTCCCTCAATTGACAGGACATTGCTCCTTGCCTCGCTCTCCATTCATGTGCTGTAGATTTCTGAAACATGGCCTTGAGTGTGACCACACACTTCCCTCAGGATATTCTATAGGCACATGATGATTTTGTGTCTTTTAATGCCAAGGGAAGATTGCCTTTTGAAGTCAGCCACATTCAATCTTGATTACATCTACCTCAGGTCTGTTTGTGACAGTCACTCATCACCCCTCCACCCCCTTCCTCGGACAGTGACAGTGTCGCTCACGGACAGTGACAGTGTCGCTCATTATTCCAAAGCTTATGGAGGCCTGTGTCTGGAACATTTTGTGCCCTTGCTGTCTGCGGACCGTATGGCGTCTCTTTACAAACCGGGCCAGGGCCACATTTAAGCCCTAGTCCTGTTTATCCTTACTTGTGAATCCGCTTTCATTTCTCGGACACCAGGAAGAGACTTTGTCATCTTCACTTTAGACTGTCCTTTGTATGAATGGCACGAACGCCTGTTTACAAGCAGCTTTCACCTTTTGAAGGCATTCTTTCACCATCTGGTCGCCATACCCCAAAGCAGCATGCATTTTAATCAGGACAGCAAAACAATTTTTGTTTAAAGTTTTCTTTTCCGTTCTTTTTTTTTAACTTTTGGCCCACAGGAAATTAAGTTGCTTTGACGACAGCTTGAAGGCAGGATACATCCACGCAACAGTATGTTTTGTAATAGCGCTCACAGTCGGAGAGGTTGTTACGCAGAGACTGAAAAATGCCCCATAAAAACCCAACTGCATTTACAAGATTTGGGGGAGTAAGTGTGATGACTGCAGTGACGGTTATGCAACGATAACGTTGTGAAAATAGTCGCTTGGTGGCTGAGAGTTCTAAAGTTGGTATTATTTCCCACGGAGTCAAACTCGAACAGCACAAAAGGAATTGTCTCAAGAGATGTAGCTCTGTACGTGCTATGTTTATGAATAAGTTCAATTTGAGGAAAAAATAAGGAGTTCGATTCAAACCAGGTTTAGTCACCCTGTGTGATAGAGAACAAGAACACGTCTCTTCACTAGAATTAAAAATAATTGCTGAGGTTGTGTATGTGTATGATTGCTTCCAATGACAAGGAATTGTCTCCCAAACGTAACCTAAAAATAAATTCAACTGATTTAAAAGTGGACATTTATGCTCATATTCAAAGCAATGTCATTGTTTCCAAAATTACTGTAATTAATGAATTGGATATTCATTGTCCCTTTTCATTTTTGGGGAAGTAGTTATATGTTTTGGTGGTGTCAAGATTTTACAGCCAGCATATTCCCTCACTGACCACTTATCTCAGTAGTTGCCATTAAAACTCCAAACAGAAGGGCAACAAACAGTTGCCATCTAGCCGTTTGGCCTAATTGCTGCGACTCTGACTACCACCGCGTCATTCAGTGATGTCATTGCTACATACCACAAAGGAAACCTGTTTTTATTGCTCGTCATGTGAAAATCATCTGCAATATCCTGTGATTAACTGGCCATCTGCCCAAGGTGTACAACGCCTTTCACCCTGAGTCAGCTCGGATAGAGTCAAGCTTCCCGGGAATTTATTCTTTTGATTATTTATGCATGGAAGGCAATGGAGAAAAGATTCTTCTTTACAATGAATGGCAACTTTGCAGTAGACAGCCGAGTAAAACAAGTCCAAATAAAAGTGGATATAAACACATGCACGTAAATCGTAGCGTGTGATACAGATTGGTTTTATAATTGAGCAGATGAGTTTTATCATTTGTTGCAGAGAGTTCCAGTCAGGCAAAATGTTGAAAAGGCCAAGTTTGACAGTAACGGTGGCTCGATGTCTCGGGGCCAATTAACGTGCCTGTCGGGCCACCTAGGTTTCACTGACATTGGCCCAACTGTGCCAGTACAAATATCATTCATAAGTAGGATGAAATCAGCACGTTCTTGCTTTTTCAATATTTCATTTTCAGGATTTTTACTTTTATCCTTTTATATTGATATTCACATCATTGATCGTTTTAACACGCGACATATTTTTTTTCCTTGGCTTGAACAAGGGATAAAGTCCAGATTTTTTTTGGTTTTTAATCCATACTTTGCCACATTCATGGCCAGCTGCCCTAATTGGCAGTCTTTGCTTTTTATAAAGGCGAATGTGGATATTTTTTTCGCGGCTGCCTCATTCGCCCCAGTCATCGTACTCTTATGCAATTTGGCCACTGAGACTGCATGCTTCATATTCATCCATCCATTTTCTAATTAGTTTATCCTCACAAGGTACGTGGGCGTGCTGGAGCCGATCCCAGTTGTCCTCGGGCAGCATGCGGGGTACACCCAAAACTGGTTGCCAGCCAATTGCAGGTTACGCATAGACAAATGACACACACTTAGAATCACACACAGGCAAATTTTAGAGTGTTCTATTAGCGTAGCATGCATGCTTTTGGAATGTGGGAGGAAACCGGGGTACCCGAAGAAAACCCACACAGCCAGGGGGAGAACAGGCAAACTCCTCACAGGAAAGCCAGAGCCTGGATTTGAACCCTGGACTTTGTACTGTGAAGCGGACATGCTAACCAGTCACCCGCTGTGCTGCCCTAGGCCTACATATGACATTTTAAATATCTTTAAGTATTGTTTTGGATCACAGTGTCTCTATACTGTATTGGCACAGTGGCCGGTTGGACTTTACGATTGTTATCTTAGAACCCAGAACCGTATCAATCATGTGTATGAAAGATGGACATTTATGCAGATTCAATCCCATTTTGTGGCGCGTTTGGTAATGCACTTCAGGCGTGTTGTGCTGTACTCTGACTGTTCGGAAACTCACAGTGTCGTTAGGACGTGTAGGTCGGTTATTCAGAGTGCCACACTTGTGCCACTTTGACTGTGGACACGGAGTGTCAGAGCATCTGGCAGGACAAGATGGGAGGATTTTGTGTGCTGAGGGGTATTTGAATGGGTTCGACAACAAAATGTTCATAGTTCACAATTCCAAATCAAATTACAGAGCTTTGATCCTCCATTGAGCAATTTTTTTCCAGGACTAAACTTTTAGTTCCATGGGGGAATTCGGTCACCACGTGCCATAATAGTACTGGACTGTGAAAGCAAAGTCGATGTGCATATGTAGACGGTCATGACGGGAGAAGTTATTGTTGGTGAGAGGCAGACTGGTTATCATCGCTGGAGATTTATTTGGAGATGTCTTCAGTGGACAGATCCTTGAGTGACCAAAAAGTAAAGCAGACTTTGGGAACTAAAAGGTTAATAAAACTGTCAAAGAATGCATGGTGGAGAGACAGCGAAATAGGGTGGTCATGCAGACCTGTGAACTTGTCTGCATGAGTGAAGAGATACAATAGTAGGTTTTAAGTTGATGGTGATCAGGATATCGCAGCCGGGGACCGTGTTGAAGCTGCGTCTACAGATGGTTAACTTAATGTATGTTATACAAAAAAAAAAATCAAATGCTTTGGGGTCAAATTTTGGCCCCAGCAACCCTTTATTTGGATTCCTGCTGTAAAAAAAAAAGGTACATGCAGGCACAGACTCCCACTTACATAACAGATAATTAAACAAGAACGGCATCCGTGAGAAATGTGTTTATTTGCATGCCACACGCCTACAAATACACCCTGGGATTGTAAAAATTCAACACTCCATCCAGTAATCATTGAAAGTGCCTCGGTGTCTACAGGAACCGGCCCCACCACTTTCCCCAAAATACCAGTTACCACTTGTTTGAACAGTGTTGACTTTTGGGTTATGCAACAACAAATAGCTGGCATTTGACTTCGTTCTCCCCAGATTTTAAAGTGCTGGCCTTTGACGGGTTTTCTTTATTTTTGTGAAACTTGGATTAAAATGACACAATCTTCATTGAATAAGATGAAAAGTCATCAAACCTGCTCGTTTCTAAACCCACTACCAAGATGAACTCATCATGCATCTTTCAACACCATTTATAGCTTTTATAGTGTGGCGCATGCTCTTGACGTACCCCAGACACAGCAATATTGGTCCCAACAAGTATGAGTTTCTGCCTTTAACCAGATGATGTGTGTCATTGCGCCAAGACAGACCCGCGAGAGCCAACATGGTGCCAGTGGGCATTGTAAGTACGCGTGTGCAGCCAGCGTTGGCCAACTTGGTGAATGGTGCATTGTGTTTACGGCATTAAAATGGCCCCACCTCAGCTGTGACGTAACCACTTTCCATGTCCCCTGCACAGTCCATCATCAGCAAGATGTGTGCGCGCTGCTAAGCTGACCCACTTGCATTCTTACCATGTGCTGCTGTGGGTTATGCAACCTAAAAGAGTGACACACCACAGACAGGCTGAGCTGTAGCCTCGCTAGCTGCTGGGCTATTCTTAGAGTGCTGGACAAAAAAAAAAAAACAACAACATCAGCTATACCATTTTTTTCTTAAAATGTTCCTGTATTGTTTTATTATCCATCCATCCATCCATTTTCCGATCCGCTTATCCTCACAACGGTCACGGGGGGTGCTGAAGCCGATCCCAGCCGTCTTCGGGCAGTAGGCGGGGGACACCCTGAACCGGTTGCCAGCCAATCGCAGGGCACACAGACAAACAACCATCCGCGCTCACACTCACAACTAGGGACAATTTAGAGTGTTCACTCAGCCTACCATGCATGTTTTTGGAATGTGGGAGGAAACCAGAGTACCCGGAGGAAACCAGAGTACCCGGAGAAAACCTACGCAGGCACAGGGAGAACATGCAAACTCCACACAGGGAGGCCTGAGCTGGAATTGAACCCGGTACCTCTGCACTGTAAGGTCGACGCGCTAACCACTGGCCCACCGGGCCACCCATGTTTTATTATATTGTTATATAATACAGATTTTGAATTCATTTCACCAGGGAACATTTATTTAATTCTGACAGAACACGTTAAAAAGTAATTAATTCCAGGTACCACTGTAATGAAAAAAGTACTGTGGAATGACTTTGTTTTTCACATTTCAAGTTGCACACAAGATTTTTGGGGAGAAAAGCTGCCTCTACTAATGCGCTTGTTTTGTTATGCGGAAAGTCTCAGCATGGATGAGCAGACGGATCTGTCAGGCTTCTCACGCGATGTAACCATCAGTTCTTTTAGACCTCAGACACTGATGGTGTAGTGGTACACTTGCCTGACTTGTATCCGAGCAGCGTGGGATCGGTTCCCACTCACTGACGGTGTGGACGTGGATTGGTTGTTCATCTCTGTGTATGCCCTGCGACTGACTGGCGACCAGTAGCCTGCCTTTCGTCCGAAGTCAGCTGGGATGGGCTCCAGCTCCCCGCGGCGCTATACAGGATAAGCGGTGTCGAAAATGAATGAATCAGACCTCAGAATGACGGGTCATTGTCAGCTGTCAACACCCCCCCCCCCCAAAAAAAAATAACTACAGTACTTCCAATTCATTTAAGACCCAAGACCGAAAAATATTTTAATTTGAAAAGTGACCTGGTTCTCCCCGTTATCTGTCTATTACCGACTCTTGACGCATATCCACTCAATATGCAGCGAGCGGCTGATGAGTCAATGAAGTATTCGGAACTGGTTTGTCAAAAAATGAGTGCCTTGAGAGCATCAACCTTGGTGACTAACCACGTCGCTAAGTCTAAAAAGGTCATTCAATATCGTTGGGGTGGGGGGGTGGAACAACAACAGTTTACAAACGGGCTCACGAAACAAATTGATTCTATAACTCGAGGTACCACGATGCAATCAATGAACAATTTGGATAATTTTATCTGCTCTGTGTCTGCAGATTTTGTTTACCGCGTGGATGTGGACTCCTTGACAGAGAAAGGGAATCCGCCAAAGCGAGACTGTGAAGAACACAACGCGTTCATTTTGGACTGATGTGGTCAGTTTCTTCAGTTGGGACCACTATGCAATCAACTCTCTTCCAGCACCACCCGCAATGAAACGTCTTGACGATGTAGCTGTTTGTTTTCCTCCTTCCGGGCCTGTTTGTTTTCTTTTTCATTGCGATGCAGCGAGTAGTAGCACAGGTAAGCTAACCTACCTTTTATGGGATGACCCTTGTCCTGAGGTGGCTGCGTCGCTTCTTTCCTCTGAACAGGCGTTGCTATCAGTTTCCCAACACGGTGCCTTAAACAGGGTCTTGCAACACTGAAAAACGTAGTCACACCCGTGAGTTTTCTTTACCCGGCCTTCCGACGTGGATCGGGGGGAATAGAGGGCAGGTGATTGAATGGAAGGAAGAGCGCGTAGATTAGCGTACGAAGACTGCGGAGGCTTTTCCAAAAGATTTGGTTTGTAAACACAGGGAGCTTCTTTCTTCATTGCGTATCGGACCAAAGCATGATGTAGCATTTCATTTCAGTCATTCCGCACTCGTGGTGGACTTTGAGGTATTTCCCCCCCCATGTGGTGTGGAGCGACCTCATTAGCGACACGCTTTCCCTTTACACGCTCAGTTTTGTTTGAAACATCCTCAGGTTCTTGGCGACCTCTTCACTACTAAACAAGTGTGTGGCTAGTTTTCTTGTGGAGTTTGGGCTTAGACGTAAGTTAGCGCTCACTAACATTTTTCTTGCCCTCAACACGGTCACCCGATGTAGCCTAGTTCTTATGAGGTGGTGTTATTGTACAGTTAACCCAATGTTAAGACAATCTCCAAAACGAAATGTCAATGTATGATGTTTTCTTTTTGCGACCGTTTTACAAATGTAGTTCACGCGCACAGTTTGTAAAGTGTGATCACGCTCCATTGCTTTACAATGGACTCGTTCAAAATCAATATCACCGAACTCAGAAAACTCCTTTTTTTTCTTTTCCAAAATTTGAATCTTCCAAATCCACAGGGGAAAAAAAACCGTCAGATTCGCTTGTTGCTCTTTTTAATAAAAATGTAGATTGAGATTTTGGGTCTATCTAAAACGGTATAAAAAGTCAAAATATTACTCTTATTGCTATACAGCAATGCTGAGAAATGTAGGGGTTTAAACTACAATACGTACCTGTTATGCCACCAGGCTTTTAGTTTGCTGTGGTTGATGCAGTGCGCAAGTGTCATCAAGGTTGTCATTATTTTTCTTTCAAATTCAACATTCAGACGTCGTTCCACTTGAAAAACAAAAACAACTTCACGCTATGCAAAATGTTTCACTGAGAACAATTTAAAAACACAGTGTTGTGTGTAATAAATATGTTTTGAACTCTGTATGAATTTTTCCCACTTGTACTGAAATGTATGTTTATTTGATTGATCAACAAATGTTTTTGTTACTGAAGTTGACAGGAGCCAGTAAGATATATTTTTTTGTGGGGTTTTTTTCCTGTAAATATATTTGATGACATTTCTTGAAATAAAAATTACAAGTTGAGTCAAAGTCTATTTTATATTCCTATAAAATACTACTCCACCTTTGTAATGAATTGCACAGCAACAGTTGCGACTGGTTTAACTTCAAACCCTGCCAGCAACCATCAAGCAGAAGATGGTTTGAGCAGCTTTTGAGCTAAACGCCCAACCTTTGGTAACTCCTGTTGAGCTACTCTAACGTGTACTGGACGACTAATTCAACACACTATATGGCCTGGCCTCTTCCATTCACCATCGTGGCGTTGAAGGTAGCATCGGTATACATAGATGAGACTCATCCTAATCCACAAGACTTTAATCCACTGTGAGAATATACTGTGGGAAGTAAGTGCGTCATTGTGACCTGTCCTGGATCATGAGCTCAGTCATGACGTTTACCAGTCTGAGCTCGTCCATATTAGGACCATGACAAAGCACGGACTCGAGGTCAGGAGGTTTTGGCCCGAGGGCAGCGATGTCTGTCCTTACCACCGATTCTGAATCAGGCGACACGGATTTGAATTCAAAAGAATTTATGCACAACTGTTTCACGTTGAAATGTGTATTATTCCCTCTCTACTTAATATATATACATTCAAGAAATCAATTATTTTTCCTACACTATTACCACAACACTACGATAGACATAACTGCATGCACTCCTGAATATAATTAATACTCAGCATTATTTTAAGAAATAGGTTATTAAGGAAACAATGTCACAAGAATTTGCACGCTGGGAAACACTTTTTAAAATGAGGCAAAACAAAAGGTTTTCCTATCGAGGGGGTCTATCGAGAAAATGCATGCCTGCACAATAACAACATTGCCCTTATGTAACTGCTTTTACGCACTGCATGAACGACTCATGAATTTTTCAAATGTAGAGCTTCCTAAAATTCACAAATCCAACCTTATTGTATTCTGTACTATTGTTTTCAAAAGAGATTTGAACAAAAAAGTGAAGAAAAGGATACGGGAAGTGAAATGTTTGCACTGCTGTGCCTGGTGCAGCACATGCACAACACTGGGAACATCATGTCCCAGGCTGCCAGCTGTTTGCAGGTTGGCATGAAAGCTCAGTTTATTGGATGGAGCAGTGCTGCCTCCTACCGATCACATTAGCTTTGTTATTATTATCAACATCATCATCATCACCATTACCTTGACATCCGACCATTTTCTCGGACAATCAAGGCTGGGTCAGGACCCGGGGGTCGGCAACCCGCGGGTCCATAGCCGCATGCGGCTCTTTAGCGCCGCCCTAGTGGCTTCCTTAAAAACCTTACCAACCTTAAAAACAAAAGCCGAAAATGTTTCAAAAACCTGATGTGCTCGAAAAAAGCTGAGACGTTTTTTTTTTAAATCAGTGTCGACATACTTTTCGTGACACACTAAGCCATTTCTAATTGAAAATTTCTCTTGACCAATTTCAAACAATGGACCCTTTATATGTGCAGATCAACAAGGCCGAAATGAAAGATAACGATGCCTTCCTCCCTGAATCAACCACGTTTTAACCTTCATCTCTGAGCAATTGAAACAATATGTTAGATCCACCTGGAGAGATGGTGAGTCCTTTTGATTTAGGACGTAGCTAATCTCTGCAACGCTCAAACAGTTCCCAGTGCAGCCTCTGCATTTCTTTTCGACTGAAGGGATAGATCACACAAACTGAAGTGAATTTGTGGCTTTTGAATGGATTAGATTCAAATGGATGTTGTCATCCAGGAGTCTCATGTCTGATCCTGCAGACCAAGCAAGTATCATATTTGGACTGGTGGAACAGCACTTAAATCATGGATGCTAAGCCTTTCTTTAGACCCTTCTGAGTACGAAGGAGCAGAGGTGGATGAAGACCGTAAAACCTCACTGGAGTTGTTGGCATTTGAGATCAAGACACAACACCACAAGCGATTGATGACTCCTCTGCATTGCTCATGAAATTGATTATTTGAATGATGCTGTTTAGAACAAACACTGGCTGGATTGATACCAAACTGGGTGTGGCGTTGCTGTGTGTTGTCCCGATGGTTTATACCAATGGTTCTTCACCTTGTTGGAGGTACCGAACCCAACCCAGTTCATATGCACATTCACCGAACCGTTCATAAAAATATGATTCAAGAAGTGTTCCTTCAGTTTTGCCGGTGCGAGACTAGAGTTGCTCAACTTGGCATAACAATTCATGCAGATGGGACGCTGAGTCCCATCATGTTCCATGATGCATGTGAATCTCCATGTTGTACATATTCATCTGACCACTTTCTTTTTTTTGCTCGACGTAGTTAGCATATATTAAAAAAAATTCTACAAAAAAAAAAAAAAAATCACACGATGTATTATCACGACAGTCACACGTTGACGACTGAGCAAACTAAATTTCCCAGCACCGCTGGTTGGACAAGCGATGTAATGTCATCATCTGCAGTGGGCGTGTCATAACTAATTGACATGTTGAGTCGGGTGTGTCTTAACCTCCAAGGCAGAGGCTCCGTCGAACCCCCGAAACCGATTCATCGAACCCTTAGGGTTCGATCGAACCCAGGTTGAGAACCATTGGTTGATACATTTGTGACTCCGCAAAGACGAGGGCACCTTGACAAGCCGACGTCCTCCGGCGCGTGTGGCGCTCTTGATTGCAAACCACCGGCAGAGCCTCATCAGCCGCTCTGCCGGACATGAGATGAACATTTGAAAACATCTGATAAGAAGACGTAATTGCAACAAAAGCATTGAAAAGATGATTGCAGCTCAGATGATGAAATGAGACATCCAAGCTTATGAGTGAAAGAATTCTGATTACAGAAGCACATTTCAAGATGTTTAATCTATTCTGCGCTTTACAATATGGGCACATGGGATTTGAATGATGAAGTGATCTCAGAAGCAGCGGACATTTGGCTGATTGATGGCCTTGGAGATGGAGTCTGTGTCCTTGGGATGGACAGAGACTATTTGTGGTGCCTGTGATGGACGTCCATCCAACCATCCATTCATTTTCTGATCTGCTTTATCCTCACAAGGAGCCAATCCGAGCTGTCTTCGGGCAGTAGGCAGGGGACACCCTGAACCGGTCGCCAGCCAATCGCAGGGCACACAGAGACGAACAACCAACCGCGCTTACACATACTTAGGGACAATTTTGAGTGTTCAATCAGCCTGCCATGCATGTTTTTGGAATGTGGGAGGAAACCAGAGTACCCGGAGAAAACCCATGCAGGCACGGGAAGAACATGCAAACTCCACACAGGAAGGCCAGAGCTGGAATCGAACCCGGTACTTCTGCACTGTGAGGTTGACGCGCTCCCCACTGGTCCACCGGGCCACCCTGTGATGGACGTGTGATCCAAAATGACACACACCATCGAATACCATAGAAAAGGTATCACCTTTTAAAGATGACACCTACTTCTTGCCTACTGAGTAATAATAATTAATTAATAATAATACTGATGAGTGCGAAGGGTCCGTTTGATACAGACTTCTGAAATTTAAAAAAAGCTCAAATTACAATAATCACGTTATTATTGGTAAAAAAAAAAAAATTAAAATCATACAACTTCTCTAAAAAGTGCATGACACAAAAATTGGGGCCTCAAAAATGGAGGTCAAGGCCATCTAGCAAGCGGGAGTGATGTCATGCACATGCTTGATGGAGATTTCAATCTTGCGTCTCTGTCATCAGCTAAGAGCTTCCCACAACATCTGCAACAAGGGGGAATAAAACTCAGCACATTCTCTCTCCTAAGTGCCAATTTGAAGGGCACGTGTACATTTTAATACGAGAATACTTTATTTCATTATTTATGATTGTATTATTAATTATCATCTTATATGTTTTGTGTCCGGCTCTTTGTTGCGGCTGCAGTTGTTGTGTACATGCTGAATAAATAAAGTTGAGTTGAGAATATGAAATACTTTAATTTCTATAAATCTCTCCTTTGTTTACATTTTCAAATGGTAACTTATACGACGTTCCGAGAAAATCGGATTGCTCCATCCCTCGGTGCGGTATTTTTTTGGAACAGGCTACTCATGTGGTCTTTGTTGGTGACCCCTGCCATAAAAGATGCCATGCATGTAAGATGAAATATTTCACATTTCTTCAGTGGAGCTATGGCTATTTTCTTGTGTACGCTGGATGGAGCATTCCTACCTATCTCCTCCATTTTTTTCTTGTCCATTCATGTGAAATAGATGTCCTCAACAAAGCAGTCAAAAGCAAACATTTTGTGTAGGACTTTACAGTGGATATAAAAAGTCTGCACACCCCTCTTCAACTGACTGTTTTCGTGATAGAAAAAAATGACACCAAGAATTAAAAAAAAGAAAAACTGCAAAACTTTTTCCATCATAAATATGATCTATAATCTGTACAACTCAAGTGAAAAGGAAAATCAAGGAGGAACGGGAAGTAAAACTCGACCATGGCAAAAAAATGATTGCCAAAATGTGTGCACACCCTGCTCATGCAGCTACGTTCAGAATTAACAAATGACAATTAAACTCACGTAAAATGGGAGTCAGCACAGACCCGCCATCATTTAAATCAGAGGTGCCCAACCACCGGTCCGCGGAACGGTACCGAACACAGCCCATTTGGGACCTGACTGCACAGAAACAGACCTGCGAGCTGCGAGCAAATTGACTCCATCAGATGTGGCGGAAATGTGCACGACTCAAGCCAATCGGAGTCCCCCTTCGAACACTGATTTGTAAGAATCGCCAATAAATGAAAGAAGAAGCAGAAAACAGAAAGTCAACCGAACCAACGTACATCAAAATGCACAGCTGACGGGCAGCCACGACTTTTGAAGATGAAGCCATTTTGACAAGAGAAGTTCCTCCCATGGCGGTATCTCCAGGGCGACGTGCAGGAGCTAGATGTGAGTAGTTGTCGTCAAAAACAAGACAGTACAAGAAACCTGGTGAATCATTTAAACAAGTAGCACCCAAGCGGTCAAATGGAAAGCATGAAAATGCGAGCAGAATCTGCACAGCCCGCAGACATAAACATGAGCAGTTTAGTCGCAAATAACTAGCCTGCAGCCACCGGATGAAAGCAACAATCAATCGGGTCGTCTTTTGATCAGTCACATTTTCAAGTAGCAATGATGCTAACACTATAGGTAAGATCATAACTAAAATTATTATGTTTATATTTTAAGACATATTTATTATTCCTGACTGGTCCATTTCTCTATAGTTCACAGTGTTATATATATTTTTTTAATTCTACATTTGTTGTATGATAGAAAAAACACCATTTGAAATGAATGAAAAAAATCAACGTTAATAAAATGCTTATTCAGAGTATAATTATCATTTTTGGCACCACCAGCGCTTATTATTATTTTTTTTTTAATGGTTGCCGTGAGCAGCATTTACTTGTCTCAACCGGTCCGTGACACAAAAAATGTTAAGGACCACTGATTTAAAGTACTCCTGAGTCCTGATCAATGCCAAATAAATTTCAGATGTTCTAGTAGGTTAGCTTTGTAAAAAGTTAACACCAAACCTTAACACACTTTACTATAGTAAAGCTTCTGTCACTTCCCAAATACTTCTGGATGTAACTGTAGTGTACATCAGTCAAGGGTGTCCAAATCCAAAAGTGAATCCCTTTGATAACTTCTAATCATCTGATCTGCTGCTTCTTCACAGGTGTGAATTCGTGTGCTGGTGCTGAGTCACTGTAATTGGACCATGCGCTTTGAATTGGGCTCATCAGTTCCACATTACATGTGAAGAGAGAGGCTGGAGGACGACATGGAGGTGAATTTAATCTGCTGTGAATAATTTGCTGATATGCACACAAACAATAACATGATAATCAAAGTGTTTTGACATTTCCACCGTTTGGTGGATGAATGGTCCAATCCCAGAGTGAATCAGGGTTATTCTTCATATCAAAATGAGTAAAATGTCCGTCAGCTCCACATACGGCATTATCGGTCCTTAAGGCTATTATCTTTTGTGCTCGATGAGGCTTTTAATCAGAACAAAGTATAGCCTGCATATACATAAACATGTATTCTACTATTCATGTTTTAATAGGATAGGATGTGATAAATAATCTCGTTTGCGTTGAATGAAATGAACAGTTTGAAGTCAAAATGCTTTGAATTGGTCAAGAAAATATAGAAGGAGTTGAGTAAATATGTAAAATATTTATATTGGAATTTTAATATGAAAGATGTGCACATTGCAGAATATGGGAATTATTAGAAAATGAAAAATGCTCCCAAGACGCTCTCACTGAGCTAAACAAGTTGAAGTTAGATTTGTACCGATGTGCAAAATGTGCAAGGAGTAGAAGGGTGATCGTTGGCTGAGTGTAATAATAATAATAATAATAATGATAATAATAATGATAACTTTCTGAGTTCGGTCAACACAATAAATAAGGTGGTTTCAGTAGCGCGGAACGGTGTTCGGGTGTACCCCGCCTAGTGGCGGAAGACAGCTGGGTTAGGCTCCAGCACGCCCGCGATCCTCATGAGGATAAGAATCTTGGATCACGATGAAAGGATATTGTTCACCGAATTATTTTTGAATAGTCAAAGCGGAAGTGATTACCAGGACGTATCTACTTCCGTCCACTCCCGTGCCGGGCAAGCGAGCTAACGATGCTTCCGCAAGGGAACATTTCCAGGCAGACAAGCGATGTGGAGGAGGACGCCAACACGACTCGCGCGGATATGGATGCTGCAGTTCTTCTGCTGGGAGCTGGGATGACGGCCGCCACACATCCGCTGCTTTACGTGAAGCTGCTCATACAGGTATCGTTAGCCCAAGGAGCTATGCTAGCGAGGCAGTCACGTGACGAGCTGGACTTTCAGCTGCCGGTTTATTCAAATGGCAACCCATTTTAAATTCCGTAAAGAATTTGACTTTTCTAAAGTGAACTCGATGGAGGGAAACCGTCTGCCCCCATTCAACTGCAGTGCGAGCTCTAAATGTTTCATGTGCTTTCAGTATTTTGCAATTGTACTTAAAGCATTCTTTGGATCCATTCATGTAGTGTGTGTGTGCGCATTTTTAAATGTTATGTTACGTTTTGTGTGGTTGCTGATGATTGAATGTTGTTGTTGTTTTTTTTGTGTGGAGGGGGCATGTGCAATTCCATTGTGTTTTTATGCAATGACAATAAGATAAGATAAGAAAACCTTTATTAGTCTCGCAATGGAGAAATTCCCAATTCACAGCAGCAAGTTATGAAAGGAAGAAGTAGAACAACAAAATATAGGAGCTGCTGGAAAAGCAGCCACTCTCGCGGCACGAACGATAATCAATTCATCCTTGCACCTCTCGTCCATATCGTACAGCACTACATACATTGTGGATACACTGAGGAGATGACACTGTTTCGGGATTAACCCGTAATTGCTTCACATTAGCGCTACAACATTTTTAGGTTAAATAACTCGGCTGTGGTTATCTTATTAATATTGCCTACTGTTCGTAAAAATGGGGCTGAAGTGCAGAACAGATTTGCTCACTGACTATTGTATCTATGTGTGTATGCATGTATGTCTGTATTTATGAAATGGTCAGATAACTAATGTTTTACTTGTTTGTTTGATTTGACACTGAAGGACTGAACGGAAATCTGCTACTTCCAGGATTAACATCTACGCTGTTTCTGTTATGTACAATGCAATAGCAAACAGCATGACTTTTACTCACACTTATCTGTATTGTTTCTTTTGTTTCTTTTCAGGTGGGACATGAACCTCTTCCACCAACTGTAGGCACAACTATGTTTGGAAGGAGAGTTTTATACCTCCCTGGCTTCTTCTCCTATGGTGAGTGAACTTACAGTATCCACCAGTATGTACTATACGGTGATGCCAGTAACATTTTAGAAAGTAACACGTTACTCAACAATACCGATTTTTGTTTTTGTTTACAGTAATGACTAATTTAATGCGTTACTGATCTGACTGCAGTTACTTTGCAAGATCACAATGCAATCATGACAAAGAGTTTACAGAAATCTGTTTCTGATTCAAAATGGTGAGTATGCCACCTGAGTGCAGCAGTGAGTGACATTTGAATATGAATCACAAATTTTCCAATCATTTTTAACTCATGCATGCATGTGGAACAAAACTAACAATTAACAAAGAATAAAATAAAAGAGTAGACCCCAGTCCAAGATGAAGTAACACAGGAAACTGTACATATACTTGTAGAACACATAAGAAAGGGGAACTATTGTCTTAATATGGGACTTCACAATTTACATTCCCATCTGTGGAAGTGACATCATGCATCTGTATTTGGTGTGTCAAGTGAAGTCTAGAAATACACATTTTTATACGTTAAAAAAAAAAATCAAGTAGCTGTTTATGTTCAGTGAAATCCATATAGACTTGTTTTTGTTTTGAGTAAAATACTTTAATTACTTCGATGAAGCGTAAAAATGTCATCTTCATTTTATTTTTACTTTAAGAAGAAACTATTCTTCGGCGTCACTGTTGAAAATGTACTTCCAATTATGTATCGGCAAAGTTGGTTGTTGTTGGGTTGTCCTCATCTGTTGAATATAACTCTTAAAGTAACTTGTAATCAAACTTAGTACTCACTCACTTCACCAAGTTTCTTTTAACGTCAAATAATCAGTAAAAGATAACTGTGGCAACACTGGCGTGGTAAATACATCGCGGCGTGGCGTGCAATGAATGCGTGATGTGTTTGCAGCACAGCACATTGTTAAGGTTGATGGAAAGAGGGGACTCTTTCGCGGCCTGTCACCTCGTATTGCGTCTGTTGCCATCTCCACTGTAATCAGGACCAAAGCGAAAAAGGTAAAGGAGAACCTAGATCCCCTCTTTTGTCAGCGCAGTCCACAGAATATCCTCAGTTAAAGTGCACGTTGTCTTTTTTTTTTTTTTTTCTTCTTGAGCAGACGCAGTGTGTATCCAAGGAGGATGACAACAAGCAAACCCCTCTTAAGAAATTAATGAAAGAGGTAAGGTCAGCTTTGGTCTGCTTTGAGGTTTGCTTTGAGACAATGTGACAATAGGTTTCCAATTAGTGAAGCCAATTCAGTACACAAAGTCAATCACTTGTCCCAGTGGATTATATATTCATTTGATCATTACCATATCTCAGCACTTCATTATTGTGTAAATAAATTGGTTGCCTTGTGACTGACTGTTTACCGTCTATTGTTTCTTTGCTGAGTATCTGTCTGAACGTTTGGTTAACAAGTGCTCTCTTTCTGCTGTTTTTCTGTGTTAAATTGGTTCAAACTTTACTTGCCAGTTAGGAACTACTTTGTCTTAATTGGTAGGCATAAGTCTCAGCAAACGAAGATCAGATATGGGGTTCCACAGGGTTCCATTCTTTGTCCACTTCTGTTTAATATCTTCGTGGCGCCCCTTGCTCAGGTTATGGAGCACCACAACATCTCATCATACTTGTACAGATGGCATGCAGCTTTACATTTCAGTGTCATCGTGTGACTATACTCCCTTGCTTTCCTTTCAAGCAATAGTATTTATCAAATCAATGATTGGACGGACCAGGATTTTTCTTCAGATCAATCCAGACAAGACAGAAGGGATTGTTTTTGGCCCCGAGATTGTTTTGGCCCAAGATCAGTGCTCACATTGACTCTATGTCCCTGAAAGCTACAAATCAAGCCAGAAATCTTGGCGTAATTATTGACTCACACCTGAATTTTGACAACCACTAAAGAGCTATTACCCAATCTGCCTATTGCCACCGGACGAAATATCCTTCGGATTATGTCTTCATAGATCTTATTTAAAAATAAAAAATTAAAAAAATCAGGTTGATGTATCTGCTCCAAAATGCTGACGCCAGAGTCCTTAAAAACACCAGGAAGCTGGACTACATCACACCTGTCCTCAAATCATTACACTGGGTTCATGTGAGTCAAAAAATAGATTTTAAAATCTTGCTGTTGGTCTATAAATCTCTAGATGTTCTTGGATCAAAATACATGCACAATGTATACCTTATGAGACATCCAGACCTCTGTACTCATCTGGGACAGATTTACTGTGTGTTTCCGGAACCATAATCCAACACATTGAAGCCGCCATTATAATTCTCCTCACCTGTGGAACGAACTCCCCGAAAAACTGATATCTGCTCAAATCGTCAGTTCATTTGAATAGGGCCTGAAAACATTGTTTACTGCGGCATTCTCATGCATCTGTCCTTTTTTTCTCTTAGGTGAATTCATTTGTACGCTATATTTTAGTCTAGACTGATGTTTGGTTTTCATAATTTCAATTGAATTATTGCAGATGATTTTATGATGATTTTTGCAATATCTGTTTGATGTAAAGCACATTTAATCGTATTTTGTCCATGAAGTGTGCTATAAAAATAACCTTGCCTTGCCTTGTGTAGACCTCTCACGAGATGTTCATCCAGTGCCTGTCCAGAATAGCCGTGCATCCGTTTCACGGTAAGACAACATGTTGAGTGCTTATGCTATTTCTTAATGCTGAAACAAAGTATTTCAAGGCTCAAAGAGAATGCAAAGTATTCAAGCGACTTGACAGTCAGGTGTGAATATTTTCCAAGTCTACTTTTCAAAGCAACCCCATTGGGTCTGTGAGCCGCATTGTGTTTCTGTGACATTACAGCAAAGGTATCTGCCCCCCACAATGCCTATACTGTGTTTCACCCATTCAAACATGTATAATTTATTTTTTGTTGTTGTAAATAGTCATATGATTAAAAATGATATACAGTATCTCACAACTGGGTTCACCCCTCACATTTGTTTCTAATTGTATGATATCTGCTTGGGACAACACTGAAGAAATGACATTTTGCTAGAATGTTAAGTGGTCAATGTACAGCTTGTACAACTCTGTAAATTAACTCCATCAAAAAAAAAAAAAAAAAAAAATCAACACAGCCATTAATGTCTAAACCGCTTGCAACAAAATTGTGTACACCCATAAGTGAAAATATTTCATATTTATGCATGTTACTCTTAAGTATTGTAAAATGGCGAGCCGTATGTGGATGTGTTGCTTGAAGACTCTCCTTTCCTTTGCCAGTCATGTCAGTGCGTTGTATGGCCCAGTTTGTTGGCAGAGAGGTCAAGTACAGGTAGGCCTTTCTACAGTGTATCCACAAATTATGTGAAACCTCTGGAATTTCATTTCAACGCGCACGACGTCCCACATGTCGGCTACAAGCTAAGTTTGAAAGTGAACAAGAAGCTGTAGCATCCATTGACGGAAAAAGACACTTCTCTTGTCCCATGTAAAAATCCGCTTCAATTCCAAGCGCCGACTCTCAGTTCCGAATATGCATCCGCGCTCCTCGCCGACTCTCCTCTCTCCTCATTCTTAGCTCCAGCAGCCATCTATCTAGCTGCACCAACGCAAAATACAAAACGCACTTGGAAAATTTTGTTCTTCTACTTCTTCCTTTCATATTGTGAGACTAATAAAGGATTTCTTATCTTATCTTATCTTAAAAAATAATTGCACAATAACTCGCAATCGCAATGTTGAGGAAAACTAATATCAAAATGTTCAAAATCATTCGGCTACCATTTGGCTAACACATTAGTAGCTAGAGTAAGCTACTAGTAGCACTTAAATTCGAAGCCATTTGGCTGATGAGTGTGACTTTCCTGTTGTGTTCACAGTGGAATTCTCAGTAGTATCAGCAGGATCTTTCAAGAAGAAGGAGTCGCCGGATTTTACGTGTAAGACATCTTTTGCAGACTTCCCTGCAAGAATGCGCGTGGCTTAGCTAGCGAGCGCCGTGAATTAACCGCTGTGCCGATTGTTCTATCTGCAGTGGTTTAATGCCTCACGTGCTGGGCGAGGTCCTCTTCTTATGGTGTTGCAATCTGCTGGTGCACTTTATTAACACCTACGCTCTCGATGACACGGTAAATTAATCATCCACGAACAGCCGTCCTTCCGGATTGGTTTTCATTTAAATGGGAACAATGAATGTCCAAGTGTGTGTATATCGCAGCCCACGCAAGTGATCTTAAAGTGCTTCTGGGAGCAAAAGTAAGAAGGCCACATGGGGCAGTTTGTTGCTGTTTTATCACAATAAGAGTGGAGGATGACATTTTTTTAGTAGTCTGTGCTGGGTTTTATAGCACCAATGAACCTGTAAATGTTTCAGTCACGCCACATGAAAATATCAAATTCCTCATTTTAAAAAAAGGGCACATAGACTACTATTCCCTTGAGTTGTGGTTTTGTTGTCTGCCTGCAGTTAAGCCAGGCGTCAGCAGTGAGAAGTTACACAAAGTTTGTGTTGGATGTAAGTTGGACATTCCTGCGCAGCACACCAAGTTTTCCCCTTGTGACGCAGAGTCAACAGCTTCTTTCTTTCCACTAGTTTGCAGTGAGCATCCTAACGTATCCGTTTATGCTGGTGGCTGACGTTATGGCCGTCAACAACTGTGGGTGAGTCACTCAATTCAGACGTGGTTTTATTGAACTATCCACACAAACAAATGTGACGTCTATGAAATGAAGGCAGTCTGACTTTACTGTTAACGGTGTAATGATAAAACACTATCGATAGCACGGAGACTACACCCATTCATCTATCCGTCCATTTTCTGATCCGCTTCTCCTCACAAGGGTGACAGAGCGTGCCGGAGCCTATCCCAGCCGTCTTTGGGCAGTAGGTGGGGTACACCCTGAAATGGTTGCCAGCCAATCACAGGGCACCTTTAGACGAATAACCATCCACACTCACACCTAGGGACAATTTAGAGTGTTCAATCAGCCTGCCATGCATGCTTTTGGAATGTGGGAGGAAACCGGAGTACCCGGAGAAACCCCACTCAGGCACGGGGAGAACATGCAACCTCTCCACAGGAAGGCCGGAGACGGAATCAAACCCTGCACCTCTGCACTGTGAGGCAGACGCGCTACACCCAACCTTAATATTTTCATCTGTAGCTGACACAGACGGTACTGTATTTCCGGCTTGAAACTGCAAACAGCGTCTCTACTTACACGTTACCGGCATCAATGTATGTGGACATGAAGGCGAAATGACGTTGGATCAAGCGGATGTCTGCCAATTGTACTTTTTAAACGCAGAGTGAAATGAATGAAAGTATGTTATTTTGATGGACGTTTTGTTGTCAGTTTGACTGCAGGTCTTCCTCCGCACTCGCCCATCTTCACGTCCTGGTTGCACTGCTGGAATTACCTCAGCCGCAGGGTATTCTGTTCTTGTCATCTTGAGGGGATCGATACTGTCCATAGTGAGTCGGTCGCATTTGAAGCCAAGCTCTTCGTCTTCAGGGTCTCCTGTTTAGAGGATCCAGCTACTTCTCTCGCCGCGTGCCCGTCACCTCGATCCACGACTGACGTCATCATCATCATCGTCATCACCACCACAATGAAGTGGACCGTAGTGATTGTAACTACTCAAGTGACATTCAAAACATTTACTGGTTGTACATCAACAGAATGAGGAAATGTCGCAAAGAATAGAACAGGATGACACCATTGAATATGCATCGCTGCTTTGTTTTTCCTTTTTAAGGAAGGACGGACGAGTGGCTGGCACATGCGCCTTGCAGTTCTGAGCTTGGGAGGTTGAACACGGGTCTTGCCTTCCAGTGTTTGCATGTCGTCCCTGTGCTTGTGTGGGTTTTCTCCAGGTACTCGAGCTTCCTCCCACATTCCCAAAACAGACATGCTAGTGAGGATTGTATTTATTTTTTCAGTTTTGACAACCAGTTTGTTAAGACAAGCATCCAATGAGCCCATCCAATTCCAATTGGGTGGAATGCTTCAGGCCACTCCCACCAGTCCTCAGGAAGTAGAAAGCCATCCCCTGAGAACCAGTCCCCATTTCCATATTTTCTATACGGACAGATATGAAATGTTATTTAATTTCGTGACTTTCGTACAAAATGTGCTCTATATAGGCAACAACAACGATGACAAAAATATTTGGCAATTGTTTGAGAAGATGGACAATAATAACCATTCATTCATTCATTCATTCATTTTCCGAACCGCTTGATCCTCACTAGGGTCGCGGGGGGAGCTGGAGCCTATCCCAGCCGTCTCCGGGCAGTCGGCGGGGGACACCCTGAATTGGTTGCCAGCCAATCGCAGGGCACACAGAGACGAACAACCATCCATGCTCACACTCACACCTACGGACAATTTAGAGTGTTCAATCAGCCTACCATGCATGTTTTTGGAATGTGGGAGGAAACCGGAGTACCCGGAGAAAACCCACGCAGGCCCGGGGAGAACATGCAAACTCCACACAGGGAGGCCGGAGCTGGATTCGAACCCGGCACCTCTGCACTGTGAAGTCGACGTGCTAACCACTGGACTACCGGGCCGCCCAATAATAACCATTGTTATCTAAAACCATCAAATTGAGCCTGTTGGACTACTGTGCCTCATCTAATAACACTGATCAACAACAAATTTCAATCAGAGATGGCTTTGTGTGTCCCTAAACGTATTTTTATGCCGATTAAAAAAATGTCTCGACTGTCTTTCCATCTTATCAAGTTTTTGAGATATTTTTTTGTTTTTAAGTTTGACCTATAGAAGCTTGCGCAATGTGGTTTACACCATGCGTTGTAATTAATAGCTATGACCTTTCATTGAAAAAAATTACCTGTTGCTGAACCTAACCCTTAAATCATAAATCTTACGAAGTATGTATACTGTATTCTATAATGTTGTTGTATTATATTTTTTATGTTATTGTTTTCATTATTTTGTTTTATCATTACCAAACCTGATTTGCCCGAGAAAATCTAGAAAAGTTTACGTGTATCTCCGATTAAATAAACCTTCGTAAAAATATGTTGACCACTGTCGTGAAGATTTGAACGGGTTGTGTGATTGTTTGTTTTGAATAAAGGCCAGACTTTATATAAGAATGTCGACGTAATTCTGACAGTTGAGTCAGATATGTAACAAAAGAGCTCCTTGCCAAAAGTCCAACTTTCTCCTCCACTCATCGACATGTCTGACAATGAAAATGCAAAATGTTATTTCGCAATGCCCCGACTGTGGCTTCTGCTGTGATGCGCTACTGTCACCTGGTGGTAATTCAACTGGACTGCAGTTGTCGGTAGAACACGCCCTGGCAAGCTAATGTCATTTATTACTACGCAATGTAAATATAAAATGTTTGATGTTTGGATTAGGGTTTCAAATTGGGATTTTAAACTAGGATTAGGATTTAAAGTGGTTTTTCAGAATAGGGCACAGATTTCAAATTGGGGGTTTGAAACTCGGCGTAGGGTTTCAAAATACAATGTTAAACTACGGTTAAGATTTCACTGTAGGCTTTCAAAATAGAAGGTTAGGGTTTCAAAGTTGGGTTTTAACCTCGGTGAGATTCGGTTAGCGTTTCTCACTACAGTTAGGGCTTCAAACTAGGATTGGGGTTTTAAAGAAGGGATTTAAACTAGTGTTTGGTTTCAAACTAAGGTTAGGTTTCAAGGTGTTAGGGTTAGGTTCTTAAATAGTTTTTTTTTGGGGGGGGGGATTATCTAACTTTTGTTTCATATTCATTTAAATCTGTGTGCCCATTACTCTCAACATTTGAGGAGTGAATGCAGTTACGGAGACAACACAGTCAAGTGCAGAGTAATTCATTGTCACATAGCAAAGAAAATAAAACAGCACCGAGTGGTTTAAATAATTATAATGTACATCCACCTTCCCAAATCCCCTCACTCACACTTCCAGATGACTACAAAGCAAACACACACAAGAGCATCATTTGCAACAACACACAGATCTTATCACATCAATATGGACTCTATTGTTCTGAAAAGCGACGAAGCACAATTACTCCAGTAACACATCACTCCCCCCCGCCCACCAAAAAAGTACCCTGCCGAAAAGTAAAATTTCCACTGAAAGTTCTTCTAAAATACAATGTGCTCATTGTCTTCTTCATATATTACACGCACTAAACATTGACACAACTAGATGTGGAAGCCAATTCGCTTTCATTAAAAAACAGATTAAATGTCGCACTGATGATGTAATAAGGCAATACGATGATACAGTCAGAAAAGACTTAGCAATGCTAAAAAGTCATACAAGCAAACTGTGGGCTCGGAAGTGTGACAATGTGCTGATGTCATAGGAATCAATGTTGCGGCTTTGGATAGCAGAATTTGCATACGGTGGAACCTGACTTGTGTGTGCATTCATCAAACAATTCTCATTTCCATTGGTAAGATTGATGTCATCAGTTATTTGAAAGACAGAAGGCCCTGTTAAAAACCAAAAGAAAACTTTTAGATGTCAATTCAATGCCTTTGGGTTTGATCGATTAGAATTACAATTCCTTCCATAGTCAATTATTGTACATTCGAACAATCAGCATTTGGGATTATTGTCGGAAATCAAACCTTAAGACTTACATTCGTTTTGGAAGACAGCAGAATGGATATTGTGGATGTTGAAGCTGTTTAGCCCTCTTCATTACAGATCCAAAGTGAACATTATGCGTGTGCGCACAACTGGGCCGTGAGCATGTTTAAAATTAAAACATGGCGCAGACTCCAGTTTTCAACTAAACATACAAAGGACTCGCTTATGTCAAGAGCAAAGGGGAGTCAGATTGGTTGAGTTTGGATAAGAAACCTCGATGGATGCGCTTCTACCAACCTTACGGGGAACTTTGAGGAGACTTTTGAATTCGCTTCCATGGGAATGATTTTCATTTCACCAGGATTTTTTTTTTTTTTAAGGGGTTGGGGGTGTAGCACCCTCCCAAAAAGACATCAAATAAGGTGCTATCATGCTGGACTAAGTATGTAGCGTGTTAAATTCCCTCTTGTCATCATCAAGCAAATCGTGTATAAAAATGACCATTTGCAATTATTACGCAGGGACACGAAGAAGAGGTTCTTCATACAGTCTTTGGTTGGACATCATTCAGCACTCGCAGCCAACATATTTGGACAAAATCCCTGAAGAGAGCACTCGACGCCTGTCAAGTGTCTACTAAACACTTACTAAGCGGTGAGAAACAACAGAGCCTGCTGGTTAGAAAGAGGAAGAACGATGCTGGCTTTGAAGGAGGGAATGTGACGGAGCTGGTGTTGCGGTTCAAAACAAACATTTCACCGCCACGTCCACTGGCGGAAAAGTCAAGAGAAGAGAATCCTTGAAAAGCAGGAATGCGGCCCTGGAAGCATCAGATAGAGTCAATACGGAGAGACACGAAGGCAGCGGTTTCCACGGTGCAAAGCGATCGGCGGGAGCCCTTTTCCAAACAAATTGAAGCGTCTCCCGGTCCGGTGGCGCGTGCCGGGACAAGTGTTAGGACAAGGACTTGTTTGCTGAGGCGGCTTCATCTCTTGGTGGACTTCATGTATGATGGGATGGCTCCTCGGGCGGTGAGGCCTTCGAAGCGCTTGTAGGTGTAGTTGATGAACACCCAATCTTTGTTCTTCAGGCCAGCATCCGAGTGGTTGGACACCTGAGTGGCTGCAGAAAAACACGCGCTTACGTCAAGCCAACACACGGCCAACACACGATTGCGATCATACCTGTTGGTGTGAGGATGTCTGAATCTGGGAATTCGTCAAAGTTTGAGGTGTCGTCGATGCTTTTGATCTCAATGGGGATGGCGGCAGGCCTTTCTCTGCAGAACCAAGCAGGTTGTCATGTTCGGTCATTTTGCATCATCTCAAAACTCCCTGACTGTGACCCTACACTGGATGGATTCAACCCACTACACGAGACTCAAATCGACAGTTGTTTTTGGAATTTGGGAGGAAACCGGAATACCCGGAGAAAACCCACGCAGGCCTGGGGAGAACATGCAAACTCCACACAGGGAGCCCGGAGCCGGGATCGAACCAACGACCTCTGTACTGTGAGGTCGACGCGCTAACCACCGGACCACCGGGCCGCCCCTGTGTGGAGTCTTTGCTCCCAAAATAGCAGGAAGTTGCTTTCCACCCTGCTCTGTGTCTAAGTCATCATTTGGGGCGTGGTCAGCCGCTTTGCTGCCACATTCTCATCTTGACGAAGATAAAAATCACTAACTTGTTTTATATGCATGTGTATAAATGACGTCCAGACAGTGCTACGCTGCAATGTCCAATTGCAACCATGCATTTACATTGTTAACCAACCAAATGTGTTGCCACCTGATCTTTTCTGCACATTTATAGTTTGAGCTCATCAAGAGTAGGTGCAAATTATTGCTCAAATTTGAAAAGAATCTGAAAAGAAGTCACACCTGATATGGTCGTAGTCCACGCCTTCAAAGAACGGATTGGACTTGATTTCCTCCACACCAGCAGCACCGGTTCTGTGCTCCCAGGATCAGCAGAACCTGTGTGTGTGTGTGTGTGTGTGTGTGGGGTTGGAATAAAAAAATCACACACACACATAGAAAAGAGTCAACCCATTATGTGTTCACTGAAGTGGCACCATGACAAAGGCAGAGCGGATTGATGAAAAGTAAGCGAAGTGAAGATGTGATCCAAGCGGTCCTACCTGAGAATGAGATCTTTGGCCTTTTCTGAAATAGGCACTTCTGGAGGAAAGGTGAGCGTCTCCCGCCAGTTCATCACTTTCCTGTACGTCTCCTGAGGCGTCTCCGAGCAGAACGGTGGATAACCTGAACACAGTGTAGTCCACACACAGCATGCAGCTTTGTCATCTTATCTTGCCTGGTCTCCAACTTGCCACCTGAATGTCACATGAGAATGTCAGCACTTACCTATCAGCATCTCATACATGATGACTCCAAGACTCCACCAGTCACAGAGTTTATTGTATCCATTTTGCATAAAAACCTCAGGAGCAATGTAGTCCGGTGTTCCCACAGTGGAGAAGGCCTGAATGAGAAGCACTCCGGATAAGCACAAAATAATCACAGGAGCTGTTGTTCAAGTTCTGTCTTCTACAATCGGTTTCCAATGTGGAGGACTAATAATGGAAGATGATGCTATTTTTTTTCATCCCAATAACTGCTTTTCTACATGAGTAATACAATAAAGAATCACTTAAAAATCATTATGATTCAAGGTGGCCAGTACTTTAAGAGTGAAGTTCAATCAGGTTAAGCTGTGACTGCTTCATGCCACAATTTTGCGCTATGGAGCAACTGCATCATATTTAGACCTGAAAGCTTGAGCCCACTTTCACCTGAAGTAATGGTTAAATTTGCCAGAGGTGCCTTCACACAAGGTAAGCATATCTGCATCGCATTTTCAGATTAGCATTGGATTTGATTTTTTGTACAGCATACATTTGATTGCTTGGTAAAGTTGTTGGACGTGCAGGGGAGGTCATTGGCAATACGTCTATGTGCCACAAAAAAAGCTTTGATTGATTTGGGCGCTCCACACACTGGGCCCTTCGACGAGTAAAAGCCAAAATGCACACGCGTTTTGTTTGGACTGAACCAGCCCACTGGTCATCATTCAAAAAAACAAAAAACAAAAAGCGAGACTATGTAATTTGCCAGGCCATACATGGGAAGGAACGCACAAGATGGCAGGCCTGGCTTGAGTTTGGCAAAGAAAGAAAAACGCTGAATAAAAGCCAAAGTTATTCTTAATGCTTGGGGTTGGTTGGCAACAAGTTTCCTTCAAGACTAACAGCACCCAAGGTTGGGTAAATTTACAGCCGTTTTGTGCCATTTACATTCAACTTCATTTTGCAGATTGAATGGTAAATCAAGATATTGTGTGTGGTGTGCATGGAGTGAAAATGTGTTTCCTTGCTCATACCAACTGCCTCCTATTTCTCTTCCAGGTCTCTGCTTTTCTCTTGGAGTTCATGTTCTGAAATGCTGTGAAGGGACAATCTGTCAGTTTTGCAATGCTTTCAACCAACCAACCAACCCACCAAAAGAAAGAACAGTACACCAAACTTGGGCTGATACAGGTCCCTGACTAATTTAAGTACTTGAATAAATAGAATACTCGGGGTATACGCACTTCTTTAGGTGTTCACTGTCAGGAAGAAAAAGTCAAGCTAACCGCAGCAAAAATTGTTCATGCTATACATGACAATGACATGCCGCCAACTGCTAAGAAGGCCAACTTCAAAATAGCAGGAAACTTTACCTGACCATTTAATATATACAGTATATAATCTATGTACTTCAGCACCTGTGGTACACTTTTAGTTTGAAGTTGTTTCCGGCAACGTGTCGCGCCTAGCGGCTGACTTGACTTGTTTCCTAGCGACGACAACAAAATGTTGTCCTGAAATAAATAATGTTCAATCACTAATTAAGGGCACTAAAAACCCCCCCAAAAAACTTAATCACGCTGATATTTTATTGTACGTCGTCTATTGCCAGTGTTTAGCACTAGCAGCGCTCAAGTGAATAAACGTTAATGACGCTACATATTTTCACACTGACACCCTGACACAGTTGCTGTTGCTACTGATCACTTTTTAATAAATCACTTACTCAAGTGTGTCGTTTTAGACAGCGGAATTTTTATAGTTTTTGTGACGTCACTTTGGCTACCAGACCAAAATCTAAGGGGAGAGATTGATCTAAATTCTTACTTAGGAAAATAGTGTGCTGCCATTCAGTTTAAATTCAAGTGTAAAAAGTTGATTACAGTATCTAAAAATGAAAAACAATTGGCCAAAGTGCATTTTTTTTTGGCTTCTGTATCTTTAACCAAGCTCTCTCTCTCTCCCCCTCTCACTCTCCCTTTCCCTCTCTCTCGATCAGAAATCCCAATTATTCTCAGTAGGACATCAGCAAACCTAAAAATTCGATAGCTGCACCCCTATAGCAAACATTTAATACACTATGTTCATTTCAAACCTAGAGTGGAAACGTGTAGTAAAATGTTCATAAAGCTCATCCAAACTATGTGAATTACTTTTTCAATGAATCGGACCTTATGAATAAAAAAAATGGCCTTATAAAATTGAAGAGTTACAATTATTGGTTAGGAGAATGGTTTCCAATACCTTACACACCATTTCAATCTATTTCAAATAAAACTGTCTTAAACAGCATCAAGAAAACGATGTCACTGATTATGGAAAGGTAAGAGATTTCCCGACGTCGCTTACTGAGGTCACTGGGCAAGCTATGATTCAGGTTCTTGTAGAAATCTGTACGATGTGCTCTCTTCAGGCCCGTGCACAGTCCAAAGTCGGACAGCTTTACATGACCCTGAAAAATCAACACAGAGAACCCTTAGCACATAAGAAACTTTCATGCATTCATGTTAGGGCTGATCCATGAATCAATTAATTTATGTTATTGCTAAGAATGATTTTTTTTTTTTTTTAGCCGCTTCAATAGTTCCGATGGCATCCTCGCCGACGTTCCTTGCTTGCACCAACAACCTGATTGCAAAGAGGAGCTACTTTACAAAATCAAGCAATGTTGCCAAGTTAGTCACTATTCAGACCCCTCTCAGTCAACCTTTTTTTAAAGCCACTAGGGAACTTATTCCAGCTAAGAAACTGAAACTTACATAATCATTGCCAATATAGCAAGAAAGCAGCTCCGTGAAAGGCAGTCACGGAATAACGTATGATGAACATTTCCCAAGACACGATGCTCACTTTTATTTGTTGTAAAAGCAGTGATTTATTGACGTGGTGGTTGACCCCAAGATATGTGCTTCCAAGGTGCAAATATTTTGCAGAGGTTACCTTGTCTCACCTATATAGCTCTACAGAGAAAATAATGTAAGGAGGTGCTGCATTAGTCTTCCGACAACAGATATGAATCGGCTAAACTATGCAATTTATGTTAAATTGATGAACATTTTCAAGTTAAGGACGGTGTTAAAGTACATTTGTTTTGACAAAAGGGATTTTTTTTTTCCCCCATAAAAAAGGAAGCATCCCGCCCTTCTTATTTTTGTGAAGTCGAGGCAAGTTGATGCCGGGGCAAAACTTGCTGGTGAAAAAAACATTTCAAAGCATGTTTGCTATCATCAGAAATTAAGCAAATCCCAGAAGGTGGGAAAATAAAAGCAAAAGAGATAAATATTATCCAGCCCTAGAGTTCACGTTATGATATTTCACATGGTTGCAATATGTAGCAACAATCACTATTGTGAATGTGGGTTTAAATGGGCGAATTGCAAGCAAAACTGTCTCGCAATTTACCTTGGAATCCAGCAAGAGGTTGTCTGGCTTGATGTCTCTGTGGATGAAGCCCAGCTGGTGGATGGAGTCGATGGCCAGGACTGTCTCTGCGATGTAGAACTGAGTGGCCTCCTCTGTCAGGGTGTCCTTCTTCATCAGCAGGGTCATCATGTCTCCTGAAAGGAAAACATCAACACCACACACGTCCACACTCTTACTTTCATCCCATTTATTTATGGTCTTTGCTTCTGTGGCGCTAGCGGAAACACGCATACCGCCAGGCAGGAACTCCATGATGAGGTAGAGGTTCATCTTATCCTGAAAGCTGTAGAACATCTTGACCACCCACAGGCTGTCTGCTTCCACCAGGATGTCCCGCTCAGCACGTATGTGACCCACCTAATCATCATCGAAGCGACCATTAGAGTGACTAACACCAGATTAGGAGCAGCGCCGCCTCACCAGCGGCACCGTGGGCTCACCTGTTCTTTCTCCAGCATGTCGGCTTTGCGAAGGATCTTCATGGCGTAGACGTGGCCAGTGTCCTTCTTCTGCACCAGACGCACCTGCAAGAAAGAGAGACAAAACACTGCTGATACAAGCCTGATGAACACTTGAGCTGATTTCGTGTGGCCTCAGTGACTTTGACCGTGACGTGCTTGCACATGTCACTGACAATTTGTTTTCTTTGTCAATGCTTATCCAAATATAGAAGGCTGAGGACGCATTGATCACAATGTAGGCATCCAAAATTCAGTACTCATGAATGTTGGTTTTACCTCTCCAAATGCTCCACGGCCAATCACCTTCAGGGAATCAAAATCTTCCAAACCTAGGCGTGTACGCTTCAGACGAAGAAAGTCGGTCTCTTTCCTTGCATGCTCAGTACGCCGACGACTTTTCTGCAGACACAAGGATGTCATTATTATCAAGAAAACATGATTTTTTCCCCCCATTATTTCCAAGTCTAACAATTCAAATCACTCACTTCTTCATCAGCCAAGCCTTCTTGATCCATGACCTTCTCCAGTTTCTTCTGCCTGAGCAACAATTTTTACAGTTTACGACAGTTTTTGACCTTAGTCATTTCTAGTGGATAAAATAGTTTACACAGAATGCTTAGTCCTTGCATTACAAAGAGACAGATTAATCTGTTGCTGTTACCTCATCTCTCTCTCCTCGTGCTGGGCAATTAGGTTGCTGTAGAAATTCTCCAGGGTCACCTTGGCCATGGTGACACGTTCCTTGGTGTGGTTACTCATGGAAGAGCATGAGCTTTGGCCCGTCATTGCCATGCTTTACCTAAAGCAATACAAGTGACACACACACAGACAAGGTGAAGGTGATCTGCATCCGGTGTTGTGAACGCCAAAGCCCAAGACTAGTTCAGTTCTAACCGCACTAGGTCTGAGAAAACTCAAGACTATGATATAATGCGCAGTCCAATGCATAAAAAGAGGAAGGAAAGAGTGTGGCATTGTGACAGCTGAGTTATGAAGAAACGAAAAGGAAATGTGCAAGAACAAGGTGGAGTCACTCTGTCTACATAATTAAAGAACACAAAAACATGTTCATGAAAATGTTCAAAAATATACATATACAGCCTTTAGTTATGTGATCAAAATTGATTCTTATTACTCCTGCTCAATATGGTCTGTTCCCAATAGATTTTGTGGTGGCTGCAGTGTTTTTGAGCAATCGTATCCATCATTTTCGACACTGCTTATCCTGAACATGGCGTTGGAGGAGGGCGGGGGGGGGGGGGGTGCTGGAGCCTAACCAATCAGTCACAGGGCACGTAAAGAGATGAACAATGATTCACACAGTCACCGAGTGGCAACCGATCCCACGTGCAAGCCAGGCTAGTGTACCACTACACCATCAGTGACTTTTGAGTGATTGGCCACATGAGAATTAAACGGCCAGGTATATAGTCAAACATGCTGCCTCAAGAAGATTTTCACAAACGACGCCAGTCATCAACACGTGAGGCTAGATGAAATGCAGATTATTTCCAGTGAAGAGTACAGTTTGTTACATGACAATAGAATAGTTTACTCTTGCGTGATGGTATATTGCTTCCTCTGTTGAAGTAGATGACCTAGACTGTGTGTAAAATAGCACTCTTCTGTTACTGTATTGGTTTATGACTGAATCAAGTTATAGTCTATTCAGTGTCGCGGGCAGCTGGAGCCAACCCCAGCTCACTTTGGGCAACGGGACAAACAATTATGCACGCCAACGGGCAATTTAGATTATCTCATTAACCTAGCAAGCATGTTTCCTGAATATTACAGGAAATGCCGGGAGCATTAGCTTTTCTGTAACATTGACGGCACCAAAACAGTAAACGAATGAGTTTCAGACAAAACAGAAAAATCAACTGCAAATATATTTTGACATCGATTTTGTCCTTTCTGAAAATTAGATTAACAAGTCATCTCGCAGTCTGTACACAGTTGGACCACAAGAATAAATCTTTTGACGTCTTAACTGGTTTATATGAGAAACATTTCAAGTCATTCGAATTTATCTTTAGAATGACTAAGTAGTACGCATGTAAGCTTCTGTCACGTAAAAATAAGATGTGCGTGGGAGGACATTTGGATAGGGTCACGCATGACTAAAGCAACACGACCGAAATAAAGAGCAGTACGTCGACACGTAGCGTCAACTCCGAGGCTGTAGGTACTGGAAAACAAAACGAGCATGTGAAACGCTCAAGAAAACACATTTCAACTTGTAAGCAATCGTATATTTTGATCGAGTCGATGCCCTTGAGGTAACCGTTCCAGAGAGAAATGTTACCTGCTAGCCTTAGCTCTTAGCTTTCAAAGTTCCAGACTGTGTCAACTTTTGAAGAGTAACACACGACGGTCCATAAAATACAGTTCAGACATTTTATATCGCACTTGGTTTTACTTTCCCTTCAGCGAAGGAGCATTTACTTTCGGAAAAGTTTCGGAAACTCTTCATTTCCATGTTAAGAGAAAAAAACACCTTAATGGCAGTTAGTTGGCTAACCCTCGTTAGCCACTTATTTGCTAAAGTGGATCCTAGGCGTTTGGCGTACGGAAACACTTAAAACAACTATCTTAATATGTCAGAGGGCAATAGTTTTGACGTATAATCAAAATACGAATGTTTGTCTTTGATCAAAAGTTGAAAGGTCGTTCTTTGAACGTCTATTACCTTTATCGAAGGTGTTGTGGTTGCCGCTTCTTCCTCTACTAAAGAGTCCCAATGAAACGTCCAGTGTGGAGTCCGTGGGACACCTAGTGGTCAAAACCTGAAAGCGCTGCACAGCCTTAAAAATACCTTTTTTCTCTCAAAACGTCATTTCGTTGCTACAGTATGCTGTCAATTTGAAATCTGTTCAAACACTCACAGATTGGTCTTTAGGTTTCAAATATAAATGACCTATTATCCTGGTTTCTTATTCTGACCAACATGACAGCAGTAGCTGGCTAGTGACATTGGCTAAACCTTTCATTTTATGGATTTTTAATAGCTGTTTTTTTTAATCTGATTTGGATGCGTTTTGGGTACATTTGATCAAAACAAAAAACTCACCAGTCCGCCATTCCATCTTCTATTGAGCCAATTGTTTGACATAATCACATTATAGTATTTTGTTCAGTTTTTTTTTTCACTTTAACTGACCTACTTTTCCAGTTTGTGGCCCATTCCAGAATTGGTACTATGTTTCACTGACAAAATAGATGATGAGCACTGCCTTAAATTTGTTTTCCCTTCTTGTTCCTCACTCTTGATGACCAACATAGATATCAATAACAGATTAAATAAGTTTCAAGCCAACATTTAATTTTATGTGTTAATTATGCATTGAAAGTCTCTCAGCATATACTGTACATAGCTCTGTGACTAAAACCGTTTTAGCATATAGAGGAAAAAAATATTGCGCTACGTGCTACGTGATTCAGTGGAAACCACATCAAGCTAAAGGCCGTCAGCGTTTCAATGCCTGAAGCTCTTACAAACTCATGGATTCTACACCTAAATGCCAGAGAATTCAGTAGTACTTATTTTTCCCTATCTGCCAAATATGGAGCCTCAAATATGACATATTCCATCTTGCGCATGCAGAAATAAAATATTGAATAAAGAGAGGCAGCGCATGCTAGAATTTAGCATCTGAGGGTCCCAGACTCAACTCCCGATGACCTGCACAGAGGTGCAGGTGGTGGGAGTAAAAGAGCAGCAAGAATCGCTTGCGCTTGTTGTGCAACTGTGCATCAATGGCGGTGTTTCAGCCACATCCTGTGCACATGGTATTTATTTTTCTGATGTGTGGTTGCGTGCCTGCAAGTAGCACTGCTCTTGTTTCTCACGCCTGATGCTATCTGTGCTCTCTGCTGTGTATTTGTAAAGTTTTTCTTAACTGGCTTGTGGACATGTAGCGTTTTCTCATTCCATCAAATGCAAATTTAGGTTCTGACGAAAACATATTTGTTGAGAAAGTGAACAACAAAAGATAAAAGGAATGACAGACAAAAATGAAACATTGAGGGTTGCATACTAATAGACTGTATGCAGATGGACTTGAAAAACTAGTCTTTATTTAATTGAAATGATTTCCTGCTCACCAGTAATAAACTGTAAACCAGTGTTTTGACAAAGTAGCAGCAATACAATTTGTCACTTTGCAAAATAAAATATTTAACAGAAAATGACAAGTAAAAACAACAGTGCAACATTCATTATCTAGGTATTCAATTACAGTATATACATTCAATGCGACAAACTAGTGTTTCTTGCTCTTTTCCTTTTTCTTCTTTTCCTGGTATTCCACAATCTTTTTGTGAAATATTCCTACAGGGGAAAAAACTGCAAGTTAACATAATACACACACACAGTTTTTCCTCACCAGGAAATGTACATTAACTGGATTAGAAGTTACCATCTGTAGCTTACTGGATCATTTATGAATTTATATGTAATTGGAATGAAGTAAATAGGAGAGTGCAAGCTTTGTTAAGAGTCTCACCCTGCTGTGGTCCTGTCTGCTGTTGCTCCACCTCCTGGATGAAGAGATCAAACATCTGAGTCTGGATGAACTTTTTGACAAAGTGTCGCGTGGTCTTTGACTCGATGGCTTTGTAGAAGCTCCTTTTCTCAAACACCCTCTGCTCTCCGGTGTGACTGCATTTCACGTAGGACATATAATGACCGACTGTTTTCACAAAAAACAGCAGGAAGGCCTCCGACACAACACGGTTCAGATCTTCTGTCGCTGAAAGAGAAGACAGAAACGTTACAATGAATGAACGACGAGATATATTTAACACTTGCAAACACAGCATTTGACCTACATGAGGCTTTCTTTCTCTGACCGAGTGCCTCTCGGATTTCACTGAGCAGTTTTGGGGGAAGAATAGAGTGCTCATCGCCGATCTGCAGCAGGGTCATTTTCAAAGCTTTTAATTTTATTTTTTGGAAAGTTGAGCACAATAATTACATGCAACTGACAAAAAAAAATCTCATGTCTTACAGAAACAATGAAGGTTTCCTTTTTGTTCTCTGATAAATCCACAATCAGTAGCTGTGAAAAATAAGAGAAAAGTATAGAGAAATGTCACTGTGGTGTTATATTGCACTGATGCCATTTTACAACAAGAAAAGCATGTGTGTCAATGTGTTGTATCAGTCGAAGAAAACTTAACTCACATCGCTTTGGTCGGTGACAAGGTCAAGCAGGTGTTTCTGTACTCCAAGCAGGTATGGAGTGGGTGCCATCACAACATCGATTAAAATCTCTGGAACGATTGAGATAAAAGTGTGCTGCCAGGTAAAAGGATAAAGAAGGGCTGCTACCGCATGTATGACCTGGGATAACGTGCTGCAGAGAAAAAAAGAGGAGAGAAAAATGTTATCCACCCACCAATGTTAGGAAAACGGATGTCATACCCATTTATAATGTCTTTATTTTAGCAATGAACACACCAAATTACAATAGAAAATGTAATAACGTGTTATCATAAAATTTGTATGCGCACAGTTTCGATGTGGAGAAAATACATGAAATTCAAATAAGATTAAGCAAATGCTAATTTAAATTCTAACATAGTTATACAACTGTTGAGATATTGACCTATGAATTATCTGTTGCAGTATACACTGTGTATACCGGGAGCAAGCATTTGCTTAGCAACACTTTAGTCGTTTATTTTATGAGTGCCCTTCATGAATGTTGGGGGCTGTTTCCTGATGTTTCCCCACTTGTTTTTTTTTCTGATGAACAGCAAGCAAAATTAGTTTTTCTGGTTTGTCTGTGTTACTCCAACACAAGGCAAAGTAGTGATTTTGATATATATATCAGGGAGTTCAGTTAAAATATAAAACGTAGCTAACCTGACGGATGACATACTGTATCAGTATTGAAATGACAATCTTCAACCTACAGCGCTGAACACATTTATGACATCACCATGACATACAGTATTTGTCTGAGAGACCATCCAGCATAATTAAGTGCTCGAATGCGGAGTCTTTCATTTTTAGTATGCTTTCGACATTTTACTATTTTCCACAGGAATGAGGAATTTCACATAGAATTCACTGTTTTGGACGCAAATCGAAGCTGATTCACTGGACTTCTCTGAAAAGTCAGAAATAAAGTCAGCATATTGACATCTATATCATTTTTCCAGTTGAAAAAAATAAAACACAGAAATGCAATTTGAAAAGGTAATTATTTTGCACTGAAAAAGGTTTGGATTAAAGCATGACAACACTGGTACCAGTGTAGCACACATAATGTATGCATACAATTATTGAGGTAATTAGCACTTCTTTTAATTTCGGGCAGCTTTAAATTTTTGGCATTATTAAGCAATGCATGTGTGAAAAATGACATCATCTTAATACAGAAGACACAAGAACAAACATTTGAATTCTATGCTATTGGGATTATGGTTTTATTAATTAATTACTTGACCGACCAGATTTAAAGAAACCATTCATTTTTTGGTGTACATTACAACTTACAACTACTGTGACTTGTAATAATTGTATTGTTTTGTCTAAGCAACAAACAACAAACAGGTTGTTATCCTGTTTATAATTATATTTGTACAAATAACATGGCTTATTGAATGATGAGCTGGGATAGGCTAATATCAAAGTTTGCTTGTAATATCTTAAGTATAATTCAAAGTCAGGTGAACACCAACGATTTAACCAAATAAGCCACTATATTCAGTGCTAGTACCAATGAAGTCGTATTTCAAGAATGAGTTTGCGGATAATACTCTATATGAATGGTAGTGTGTGGTTGAGTACAGGGCGAGTGCGCATTACCCCAACTCATCGGCAATGAAAATGATCCGTCTCTCAAGGACTGCGGCCGCAAACACCAGTAGCACCTCGTCATCTGTAAGGCAGCTGAACAGCACTTCAAAGTTGACGTGTTCCAGCCAGGAATCTAATGGCCGCGTCAGTCTTATAATCTGAGAAGAAAGAGAGTTACCACTGTCACTAATATGGCACACAGCGAATAGCAGGTCGTCGCCCACTTGGCATTTCAATTATCATACGGCCACTGTGCGATTTCCAATAATTGTGTTTATTCTCAGGTCAGTTGCAGGTTATTTCTCTGTCTTGATCACGTTATCAACAACACATGCAAGGTGCATATTTGAGTTTTTTTAAGGACTTCCACCGCTAGGTACTGACTGCAGTAATTATAGCACAGACATTGGCAAGCATCACTGAATAAGTGTAGTGAGTGAGAGCTGTTGAAACATGGGATGCGGCCTCATGCTCGGCGGTGTAAGTTGAGCAATGTGGGACAGGTTGAGACATACCTCCAAACAAACACACCCACCTTGAAGAATGAGTCTGTTCAAGCCATTACAACAACGTGGCCTCTCTTTTAATGTAGAAGCATAGCGCTTTCATTCAGACTTACCCCAAATTGCCATAAGACAATCATTTTGTGACACCGTTTTTTTGTGAGCCTAACTTCAAATACTCCAGAGGTAGGGTAGGCAGAATGTTCACTGAATAAGAAAATATGATATAATATGGTATATACATACAGACGGTACATAATTAATATAATAATATACACATCCCCGAGAGGGGATGTGTATATTAACCAGAGGTTTCAGTCGAAACACCAGAGGTTTCAGTCGCCTTTTCTGCTATTTTTGTAGTCACATCTTAAAGCACAAGGGCAAGAGTTTCCACAGCATCAGAAGCATGAAAGGTTTAAATAAATTGTTTGCGTGCCTGTGTGCTAGCAATGATCTTTCATTGTTCAAAGGTAGTAGTCAGGAGAAGAGTAACGGAGTAAATGTGGAACAACAGTGACATGACTTAGTGTTAAAAGTTCCTCCAAAATTGATGAAAAGACGGGAAGAAAACTGGTCAGGGAAGCGGCCAAGAGGCTGACAGCTAGACTGAAGGAGTTGCAGGAATTTCTGGCAGCCTTGCTAAAGATCTGAACTATATTTGGGTTTCATCAAAGGCACTTTAAAAAGGCAGGTGAATGCTGACTCCCATTTAACAAGTTTAAATGTGAGTGGTTAATTCTGAACACTGCCACATTGCCAGTAATAAGAGGATGTGCACACTTGCACAACCACATTATTGTCGTTGTACTTCCCCTCTTGAAAAGATTTATTTATTTTTTTCAATTGAGTTGGATGGGGTGTAGGTCACATTAATGGTGGAAAAAGTTTGGAAAATATTTTTTTTTGTCTCACTGATGGCATCACTCATACCCGGCATTTGAACAGGGATGTGTTGACTTTTTATATCCACCATATAATAAATGGATTTTTAACATGAAGAGAAATTTCATATTCACACTTCATATAACGCAAGTCCACAGACTTCTGATAATTCTACGTGGAGGTGTGGTATTGCTCTGACCTCAGTGCCCGACTCAGGAATGAAGCTTTTAATCTCCACAGTGTTTCCTGGAGCTGGGAATGGAGCCTCCCGCAATTTCTGCATGAATGGGTAAATCATAGCCATGGAGATCTGCCGCCTCTTCTCAACCTCATCAAATATCTGCCCGCAAAGAAAAAGACGAGTCATAAGACAATGCACCAACAGACATGAGAAGAAAAGTTGGAAAGACTGACGTTGTACTGGACTTTTCATCATGAGGTCTGTGCTATAACTTTGGCTCAAGGCACACTAATATCCCAGTTTGGTCTCTAGTTCAAGTATTAAGTGGAGATTCAGGACATTTGCGTGCCACTTGCAACAGAAAATTGAACTATGTTTCATGAATAATTAGTTAGGGTTTTTTTTTATTGTTTCCACTCACAAATATAAGTCTTTTGACACACATTTGTTTAAATCACCTCTGAAAACAGGCCAAAACAAGCCAAGCTGCTGATGATACAGTACGCCTCTGGGGGACGAGCCCCCTTCCCACCAGGCTGCAGGTTGGAGAGCAAAGTGGTTAGGATACATTACGACCATTTCCAGTTCACACAGTCGACATGCTAACCAGAAGACGCCTGCAGTATCCATTTCTTCGGCTGCCGTCAATCTCCGTCAACACAAAGGAGAAGGTCTCACTGTCAACACGCGGGGAATATGATGATTGAGAGATGTTGCATCGCAACGAACCATGAATTAAATGTGATGAAATTATTTCCAGAATGCATGTGTTTTTCAGTTGTACCTGTGATATTCGGTCAAAGGGGCCCATTTGATACCTTCTGGGAAGCAGAAGAGCGTGATCGCCTTGAGTGTTCGCTCCTCTTCCTCCTTTTGAAATTTGGCCATTCCATCCCTCTGAATGTACGCACATGCACAAAAGCACACAAGTCAACAAGGATGCACACAGGCATGCAAACAATTTATTTAAACCTTTCATGCACCTTGTAACCTGATAACATGATAAGCTGTCCACTGTAGTAACCGTTGTCCCTGAAAGGGTTAACGTGGCCATCGTCAGTGTGGACCTCAGTATTAGGAATGGGGAAACAGAGCCCCACCACATTCAGCCATCTGTGTTTATTTATTTGTCTTTCCAATACACCTTTTATATGTAACAGATAATCTTGATTGGCCCATGGCGTTTTATAATACAGTACAGCCCTAAGAATTCTGCGTGGCAACAGGTGGACGCGTGGCCACCATAAGAGTCAATGAAGAAAAACGATTCATTTTATTGAGCTACAGTACTTGTAAGACAGCTAAAATTCGAGTTTCTAAATGGAAAGGCTTTTCTTTTTGGAATGAATCACATGATTTGTTTGTAGTCTCTGTTAGACAACAACAATGACGTTAGCGCTACGGTATGTTAGGATAAACTGGAATGACTAAAGAAAGTCAGGCACACTCAAAATGAGGAAACAAGGACATTACTTGTCCTTTCATGTCAATCTGTTATCCATATTTGTAATTTTTGATGAAATACAAAAGTTGTTAATGTTACCTTGCCACTGACTCAAAATGATCTTATCCATGTTTTCATCACAAAAAATATAATTACATGGAACAAGTTGACATGCATCAACATGGTTCTAATTTAATATAATGGACACAGAATCGATAAAAAAATTTACATAATATGGAGAAGAGATTTCATTAGTCTATACTTCTTTGTACTCCTTTTTGAATATGAAATATGGAAAACAATATCTCATTTATGTTATTTTCAAATTTGTTTTTATGCTCAAAAGTCGAATCTATTTAATTAATTGAATCTAATGGTATGATATTGTACAAGCCAACCTTAGGGAACTGGTAGGTGATCTGAGGCTCATAGCTGTTGCCATCTTTGTTCTTCTTGAGGCTGACCACCACTAGGTACTCGAAAAAGTACTGACCACTGACAAAACGTCGTTGCCTAGTAGATTTGTCTTCCCCTGTTGGGCCCAGTGGCTCTGGAGGATCTTGCTCTTTCACTCCTTCAAAGATATTTGAAACGAATGACACGTTTTGTTAATTGTGGTGAACTGCTTGAACAGTTATCATTTAGGCATCATAGTTTGAATCAAATCTGTTTCAAATTTGATATCATCTGAAGATGAACAAGAACATGGATTTGCACACCGTTTCAAAGGAATTTATCCAAAGTAAATTACAAAGGTCGCATTGCAAAATGAGCAGCAAACCCCACCCCCGCAATGACTAATAGTTCACAAACACCAACCGCCTTACATTCTTTTGAAAGTAAAAGTAAAAATCAGGGCCAGGGGGCGAATTGCTTGTGGGAAGGGACTACTGCAGATACAAATTTAGAATTGAAGTTGAGCGACTGATCGATATTGGCATCATTGACAAATTAAAAAGCGAAAAACAAACAAAAAAAGGATTGCTTTTTTTTAACAATATGAAAGGTGTCTTAGCTGATGAAGAAGTATTATATTCCAGAAAGTAACTTATTTTTTTACCAGTTATAGTTAAATAGAACCAGTAAAGATTGAAGCACGTGCAAGATTTTGTGTCTACATTTCACTGCTTTAAGTTATTCAACTGTGATTTCAAGACAAATGCCCATTGCAAATTACAGGATTCAATGTTAACTGTGTTATTATAGATTACATATAGTTCAGAGGAAGACAAAAAAAAAAGGAGACGGAATATGCTGTATAGGTGTGTTTACACATCAAGACCCTGTTTTTTGACAAAGTAGTTCCCACCGAGGCTCTTCATGCAAGATGGCGATGCCATATGACACATCACTCATCGGGTAACACACCAACAAATTCAAAGGCGAATGTGTTAGAAGATGCAATAAAAGGAAGAAGCTCCAAAAACTAAAAATATTTTTAGAGATGTGATTCTAGAATGTAAAACTCACTATCTCTTTTGCCTTTGCGGAAAGAAGACCACATAGCACTGAGCCTCTTGAGTGCTTTTGGTCGTCCACTCCCATCTTCACTTGGGATGGTGCCTGTTAGGGAAGTAATGGTAGTTTAATTCATAATAAAATATTTACACATCAGTATACGTTCATTCAACCTTTTGACTATGACTGTGAAAATGCTATTGACACTCAGACATCAAGCAGAAGACCATCAATCACAACAAGGACGTACTATTGACAGCACCAAAGGCACAATAACACCATTGGCCACAACGCAACACAGGATTTTAGTTACAGTAAGCCCTTTTAAACTAAAAAGAATAACTTTCCTCTAAGTTTGAAGCGGAAATTTGGAATTCAACCAGAACTTGTTTGCTGCCGTCAAGAGAATTAGGGAACGGAGATTTTGGGTGCCAGTTTGAGCTCCACTGTTCTTGGTCTCATTTTTGGAAAATACATTTTCCAAAAATATGCAACGTATAGTATAGTCCAATGCAACTTCGATATTAAATATTTTTTTTTCTTCTGATTTTGAGTCAAGCCTGTTTCTCGATATGGGGTCTGCAAATGGCTGACAACGAGTCGATAGTGCATCCCGCCTCTTGTCCAAAGTCAGTTGGAATAGGTCACAATATATAAAATGGTTAGATCAGGGGTTCTTAATCTGGGTTGGATCAAACCCCAGGGGTTCGGTGAGTCGGTCTCAGGGGTTCGACGGAGCCTCTGCCATGGAGGGTAAGACACACGCAACATGTTAATTAGTTATGACACACCCGCTTGGCAATCACTGGCTGCAGATGATCACATGACATTGCATGTCCAATCAGTGCTGTGGGAAATTTAGTTCGCTTAGTCGTCAACGTGTGACTGTTGTGATAGTACGTCGTACAAAAAAAAAAGTATACATATATATATATACACACACACACACACACACACTGGTATTTATTTTTCACTCATAAAGGGTTCGGTGAATGTGCATATTAACTGGGTGGGTTCGGTACCTCTAAAAAGGTTAAGAACCACTGGGTTAGATGGATGATTGGCTTACCAGCAACATCCGAGATCAAGTTACTTTTGGGCTGTTCACCTAGAAAACACAAAAACTTTAGGTGAGTGTATAGATTTTAAAATAAGTTGTTTCAATTGACCCTTAATTGTCAGAGTACATGCATAAAATGGAATTAAGAAGACACATATAGATAGAGCAGTAGTTTGTCTCCAGGGAGACCTCTCCGAGCAAAAAGCTTCCACCTGTGTTCTTATTATTTTATCTACATGGCACCAAAAGCAGAACATTAGACTTTCAACAGATATATGAGATGCAACGGAACCAGGAACCAAAAGTCACTGTGAGGTTGATTTGGTTTGATTCCAGCTACTTTTAAGGACTGTCGGTCAGCCAACACTGTCCATAATATTGATACAGTAATGCAGAGCCAAAAAGTAGTAGAAGTTCATTCTGAGAGATTAATGGCATAAAATCACAGGAGCTTTCTCCAAGGTTTTTTTTTTGTTTTGTTTTGGAGGTTTTTAGAAAACCATGACAAGACAGCAGCAGGAGGTGATTAATTTTCTCATTGACAATAAAATCTTCTGTCAGAATGTAGCATTGAATGAATCACAAATGCGCAGGATATTAACTTTACTGCCAGGCTTATTCAACCAAGATTTGCGGTGACTTGATGAAAGACTCTCGAGCTGTTTTGGCCGTTTCAACATATTTTCTTCTCTGACTAAACTCACCAAAGACACATGTGGTATGTGTGCATGAACATAAGAGCAGGAATTTCCAGCATTGCTGATTGCTAATGTTCACAAGATTTTCGTTACATCCTCGTACATTTACTTAGCTGATAGGGATTTTATCAATGTTTCTGGAGTCCTGGCAACGTAGTATTTCACTAGTCTGTCCGAATAATTCTTAGAGCGTGCTAAAGCGATGGCAGGCTGCTGAAACATTTGTTTACTTCAGACTGCAGGGAAAGAATTTTCATACTTGTGCTGCGTTCACATCTCCTAGGATTACAAACAACCTCCAAAGAACTCTCTCAAACTCATCCTTTAAATGGCAAAAAGGAAACAGCCAATATTATTTGAAAGAAAAGAAAAACAATTCACTTAGCTTTTGAGCAAGCTACAACCTAGAGTCTTCAATTACAGTACCCCAAGAAGCATATTTTTTGAATTGTGGCAAGAAGCCAGAGTACCTAGAGAGAAACCACGCAAGCACGACAAGTACATACAAACCCCACACAGGACAAACGTGTTGTAATATATTACAAAAAAAAAAAATTAATAAGTGGAGTAGTCGCCCCCCACTGGGAAGAATGTTTAAATCCTCCATTGGTACTGGGAACCTAAAGGTTGTCACATGCAGAAACATGAGCCTGTCCCACAAAACAAGTTCAAGAGTATTTGAATATCCGCAAGTAAGTCAGCAAGTACTCGTCATTTACAAATGGTTAATGTTAACCGTGTGCTGATTCAGTGCAGCCCTCTTCATTACCTTACCGGTAAGTTGAACCAGTTCTCATGAAGTGGGTCATGATGGCAAAAGATGACTCATTCCAAACAAGCGTCATCAAGAGAAAACTACCAAACTAAACAAATGTCAGCAATAGAGATGTAATTAAACATTTAATATAGGGAAAAGGTCTCAGTTGCCACAGCTAGAACCATAATAGTTTGTTAATAATTAACCATTTCGAGTCGATATATTGGCATACTAACCTTAATTTAATAAATGACCGTCTAACACACACACACACACACACACACACACACACACACACACACACACACACACACACACACACACACACACTATTGTGTCTTTTTTGAAAGTATAACAAGGTTAAAGGGTATGAAGCACTATAACTGGAAAACAGGGGTGTCCCATTACAATGTTGATGTCTGATATTGGTCCTATATCAGCCCCCGTGTTCTCTCCATAAAAAAAGAAAAAAAAAGTATCAGACTATACTATATAATAAGATATATAATAATATATTATATTATATTGGCACTCATACAAGCAGTCTATTCCAGATTCCATTGCCAGCACATATTGAATGTAAAAAATGGATTCTGAAAGTACCGAAGTCAACTTAAATTATAATTTTGGAATTCAAACAGTAGAATTTGTTTTCATTATATCCAAGGGGCCGTTTTATTTATTTTTTATCTTGTCTACAAAAAAAAAAAAAATATTCAGTTTTGACTGTGAACTAATGCATTGTTGTGTTATTTCTCTATATTCGTTGCACAGTTGAGTGCCAATTGTTCTTCTATTTTTCTACAGTATACAGTATTTTTTTTCTATTGCATATTTATTTCATTTGTCTTATTTCCTTTTTAAGTTTTTGACTATTTTTTTGTGCTCCACACCGCAGAGTGAAAAGGAGTGGAGGGAATATTTACAGCGTGCCTTCCTAACTTTTCTACTTGCGCCGCTAAAATGTCAGATTAGGGCCACTGTGCTCCAAGTTACCGTTAAAAAAAAAGTTTGTTTGAGGCCCTGATTGTGTAATGTTAACATATTACCACATGCTGCATATAACATATATTAACTTGAAACTCAGTCATCTGTATTGTTATTAAAGAGGATGCACATTTCCAAGCAGCACTGATGTAAACAAAACACTGTCAATAACATCATAAATTGAAAATCCTAATGTTTACATTTTAGTCACGGAAACACAGTATGCTGAAAACAACATTGCGGTTATATTAGGAAGCATTGCATATTGTTTGTGACACAAAAGTCTCAACAAATCAAGCATTGTCAAGTCTGAACTACCTGGGTTAGAGCCATTTTGAAAAAAGAAAAAAAAAAGTCCTGTTCAACAAGCCTAACACCCAGGGGCTCCTGAACAAGTCACAACAGCATGCTGTCAATTCGAAAGGAAAGGGAATGGCATGATCCAGGGAAAATATGTCATAAAGAGACTCAAGTACATTGATAATGGTATCACTTCATTACCAGTTAACCATGTAATCAATGCAAATACCAAAACTGCACTTGCAGCTTTTCATAATTTTGCTTCGTCACGTTGCCTTTTTTATGGCAACAACCACATTCCACAGTTTAGATGGAGTCAGACATTAAGAATTTTCACCGGGTTTTGCTGAGTTAAAAAAAAAAAAGCAACATAAAGAACTAATGAATAACTCAAGCCCAAGCCTGACTCACCCACACTCCGTTTAAAGCAGCAATGTTAGTGAAATAGAAACAAAAATGTACAAGTCCACTTAAAAACCTAAAAAGAAGTTCAGGTTTTCATATGAAGCTCTGTGTAATGACATTCTATTGTTGCACTGTAAATCTATTGCTTTACAGTTCAACAATTTAAACAAAGACTACAACTGATTGGATTATACAGTGACTATTTTTCAAACCCACTTTCTGTTTCTGAAATATTAAAATAATTCAAAAAATGTGAAGCGAGACCATAAACAAAAAAGCAGTGACACGGCATTGTTTGCATTACATCACCTAAAAGATCTTAGCACTTACAAAGTGTCCAATTAGATTACTGTGATGTCAAACCATTGCTGCTGATATTTGTGTTAGGTGTTCGAAGTACAATGTTTAGATCTTGAAGTCGGTGAGCCGCTAATAATCATGCGTATTTGCCCAGCTTGCAGAGGCCAGAGAGCCGCTTTTAGCAACAGATGAGTATGAGCAGTGAAATGACTCAGTTGCCTTAATTGATTTGAATTGTCTTCTATTTCTCAATGCGAAGCTTTGGAAAGCACCACAAATTTCAACAATGTAGAATCCGCTGCTGTATCAGGGCCAAATTGAGGACAGGTTTCCTTGTTTGGCAAAGTTGTGCAAATATTTTTTGACTGTCCGTGTGACAACCACACCGAGCGAGAGGATTTTTTTTTTCTTTTACAGATGTTATTCATACAAATATTTACCTTAATTGTGACTTAAACGACTGCGTTTTAACGTTGCGAGTGACTCGGGCGCCCCCGCTTGCGTATTTTGGGTCGCCATTTAAAACAGAATTCCGTCGTAAAACGAGAACCACTATGTCATGCAGTTTGTTAATTTACGGTTTCTGGTTTGATGGCACTCATCAATAATACACAAATTGGAGACCACAGTTCAGAATTTAAATGGGTAAAGATATAGGAAAACCCCAAAAGGAGTCTCGCTAAGACACCTGACGGCAATATAAATGGACACGGTGAACACGTCAACAGCTTTCTGTCGATCAACATAGTGGAGATCACCTCCATTACTATCAATGTCTCTTTCTGTCAAACAAGAGCAGGTATATCGACAGGCTCAGTTGTCAACAACTTACTCCATCTACTTCTGAAGTCCGTCGAGCGGCGTCCAGCGCGTCTTCTCTTTGCCGTTTCACTCATTGCTGCCTTACTTACTCCTTTACGTCAACTTTTGAGTTGTATTTAGCAGGGATGGGACTAAACCAACAGCGGTAGAGCAAGTCGACCATCATCGCGTGTGTGTACGTGTGACTGGCAGTCCGTGCCTAGTGCTGCACAGTCTCAAGCAGCGTTGCCTTCACGTCCAACCTGTTGCGGTGGGATTTCTCATTTTCAGCCACCAAACGACCTCCGCGACATTAGTGCTGTTTGAAAGTGACTGCACCGCTAAAGTTGCTTAGGTTTTTTTTTTCAGTTCCCACAGCAAAACACTGAAGTGAAAGATGCTATACCGCAACTGCTGATTTCCAAAACGCTGTACTTTTTCTGACTTTTTACTTAACTCTCTCCTCTTGAAACTAGATATCTACGTTCGACTCCTTTATTTGTGAACGCGTTCTACACCTTTATTTGTGAAAATACTTTTTGAACCTTGTGAATGACAGGGGCGAAGATACAGGGTGGCCTAGGAGGGCCACGCCTTGTCAGTCTTGAATCACCCCCTTGGCCAACTCCTTATCTTATGGAATATTTTGATATATTGTATGCGTCTTTTCTGTTATGTTCATATAAACACAGTATTTTTAGACCCCTTAATACTCTGCCACATTACAGAAAAAAATATTGACTGCATACTTAAAGAATACATGTACAATTGATCTGAGTGAAAACTCAAACAACATTGCTCAGACGTCATTGTTTACCACACCACCCACAGTCATGGTATAATTAAATAAAATGCACACACTCATAATACAAGCAGGAACAAACTGGCATCAGCCGTCTGTGACAATTGATCACTCTGTTTAGATGCAAGCCAGTGAATAAGTGCATGAGATAGAAGTAAACTATGAGATAGTACTCAAAAGCAAAGCACTGCAAAGAAAATAGCATCATCTAATAAATTAAGCGCAGAAAATTTTTGTTTTTTACTGAGATTTGTTCCTACTTGATTATGAGAGTGATGGGCATTGTACTGCACTTGCACATCATTGTATTGTGTTTTTATTGATGTTTAACACAAAATCCCAGCTTCATTGTAATTGAATTTGCAAAATACTGGATGTGCCTTTGCGCAATGCATGTTAGGGAACACTACTGTACCTAGTGTAATCCAAGCCATGACCTTAAAACCCAGGTACATACCAAACAGTGATTTTTTTTGCATACCGTTACACTCTTAGTGATTACACATTCATGTGGTTTGAACCGTTATAATTGTTCCCCTGAGGGCAGTCATAACAATGTGACCAGCAATGAAAACAAGTTTGACACCCCTTCTCTAAATTGTCTGCATAGGTGTCAATGTGTGTGTCAATGGTTGCCCGGGTATCTACCCTGAGATGGACTGGTTATCAGTCCGAAGTGTACCCCACTTCTCACCCTAAATCAGCAATAGTAGTCTCCTCTTCCCAGTGAGAGTGAACAGGATTATCAATCCATCCATCTATTTTCCGATCCGCTTATCCTCATAAGGGTCGTGGGGCGTGCTGGAGCCTAGCTGCCTTTGGGCAGTAGGGGGGGTACACCCGGAACTGGTTGCCAGCCAATCGCAGGGCACACATAGACAAACAACGATCCACACTCACACTCACACCTAAGGGCAATTTAGAGTGTTCCATTAACCTGCCATGCATGTTTTTGGAATGTGGGAGGAAACCGGAGTATCCAGAGAAGACCCACGCAGGCACGGTGAGAACATGCAAACTCCACACAGGAAGGCCAGAGCCGGAATCGTACCCTGCACCTCTGCACTGTGAGGCCGATGCGCTAACCAGTTGACCACCAGGCCAGCTGAACAGGATTCGTGGTGTATAATATGGATGGACATTAAATTTCCCATTGTGGGTCAGTTGAAAGAAACTCTGACTCCAAATGTGTGTTTCATAAGATAGGATAATATCCTTTTTTGATACCCAAAGGGGACATTCAAGTGCTACAGAAGTAAAAATAAAATAAATAACATAGAATAAATCACTGTTATCCTTGCAATACATTGTATTATTGTTTTTATCTCAGGTGTTCAACATGACTTTCCTTCTTCGAGAATGTTAGGTACACCCTGCACAAACAAGCATACACACTCACATTCACACCTATGGTCAGTTGAGATTATTCACTTAACCTAGCATGGATGTTTTGAGAATGTTGTAGGAAGTTGGAGAATCTATGAAAATCACCCGTTACAGTAAGGCCCAAGTCAAGATTTATGTTGGGACTCTTGATTGTGAGGAGACGCATAAACTCTCACTGTGCTGCTGTTTTCAGGTATCAGACTAAGACATATGTAGAAACAAACATGACTTCAGTTGTCTGTCTAAAACAGCACCAGATGATTGTGGTTTACCTGTTTTATTCATTTGGACCGGAATGCTGTGCAACTGTGAGGCAGCAGCTCCATCTGAGAATTTCTCTGTTAAAAAAAAAAAAAAAAAAAAAAAAAAGTAATACAGCGAATATTAATGTACTTGATGTTGAGTGACCCGCGACCCTCGTGAGGATAAGTGGCTCAGATAATGGGTGGATGGATGTTGATGGATGCACATACTTCATCATATTGGAGGTCATTATGAAGATCTTATTATTTTATGTTGTGGTAAAAAAAGACAATTATGGCATTTACCTTTTCTTGAGAACTCTCTAGCTGATGAAAAGGACCATGCACCTCTCTGCTGTGAGACTCCACCTTCTTCGATACTGTTGTTCCTTTCTGTAGAAAGAGTGACCATCAGACGACAACATGTTTTCTAGATCCACTTTGTGTTCAATGGCCTTAAAAGCTCACTTTTAATGCGTAATGATGACATGCTGAAGCTCCTCCTCCAATTTCGGGACAGCGGCTGCACTGTGCTCTATTAGAACATGAAACAAAGAAAAAAGTGTATTTGTATACGTATATATGTACAGTATGTGTGTATTTTACACCCACACCCACAGATATATTTTTTCTCCGGGTACTTCGGTTTCCTCCCACATTCCAAAAACATTCATGGTAAGCTGATTGAACACTAAAAATTGTCCCTAGGTGTGAATGTGAGCGCGGATGATTATTCGTCTCTGTGTGCCCTGCAATTGGCTGGCAACCGGTTCAGGGTGTCCCCCGCCTACTGCCTGAAGACAGCTGGGATAGGCTCCAGCATGCGACCCTTGTCACACACACGCACACACAGTGTACTTAATATTCGTTTTCTTATTTTAAAACAAGAAAAAACACCATATCGCCACTTGCGTTGATACCCCTAATAGGCCTTTTTTAAATACATGATTTCATTGAATCTGTTGAGGGGATTTCTATGTATTCTCCGGGAGGACAAAAGCAGTTCATTTTCCTGACCTGATGTCATAATGTTGTCTACATTAAACCCACCAGTGAAGATCAGTGAGCAGCAGCAACTGTGTTGTGCCCTGGGACCTAATTTGTTTTTGGCTGTGGAGACAACTGTCTGGAGCTCCCGCTGAAAACCCACAGGGAGAACATTCAAACACCACACAGACTCAGGTGATAAGTGTGGTCTTTCCACCATATCTAAAAGAGATGACGGAGGCAGGGGCTGTACTTAATGCTATTAGGGCTCAGTGCCAACCCCAATTTTATCCACAGTGGGTCATGAACCGGTAACCCTCTGCTACAAAAACTGCTGCCTTGTTCTTGCAAGTATTTTTTTTTACAGGGTTGTATTGTGTGAAAGCTGGGTTGAAAGTAACAAGCATTTACATGGCTAATAAACTGTAACAACAAGAGTTGTTTTATATTGCAGAAATTTTGTTATAATCCAAGCACACATCCATCCACGCTTTCAAATGTGGAAGTCAGAGTCGAACAAGAAATGACTTCACAGGGGTCACCACAGTGACTGCATGATATAGTAATCTATGAACAAGTTAAGGTTTTCAATGAATCTAACATGCATGTTTTTGAAAGAGGAGAGCATGCAAACTTCACAGTGAATTAATTTGATTCAGTTTAATTTAACTATGCCTTGAGGAGAAATTCACCCACATTCTGTCACATATTTTTGTTGTTTTGCACACTACATCCAGTGAAAAAAACATTCATTTGCAAAAGAAAATCAAGAATACAATGTAAATCAACATCTTTTTTCTCTCTCACATTGTTGGTTTGGAATGGCACAGACCTTCCTTACAGTTGCAACACGGGAAATTTCATGTGTTCAAATGTTAATACCAAATTACCGCAATCGTATAATTTGCCCCATAACAGTTTCAATTTATGACATCTGAGACAAAGCTAAACTACAATCCAAAGAGCAACATTTGTGAAGGATTAACACTTACCCCGTGTGCGTGCTGTGATGTTGTATCCATGTCTGAGCTGCTCAAAGTGATTATTCATCAAGTGGATCCAAACGTACCGTAATGTCATCTGCTTGAATGTGTTCTTTGCTAAAACATGGATTACATTATTCTTTCGCACACAGTGTGGGCAACGGCGTGCCTGCTGTGAAACACACACATATGAGGAAGTGCACTTGTTGAAGTGTTGTCAGACTTCAGTGTCAAACTGGGATTTCCTCTTTCACTGTGAAGTCAAAGTACAGCGATATCATGATGTGGCTGTTTTCTGAGACGCACTTGTTATGTATCATTTATGACTCCTGATAAACTTTCTTCAGAGGTCTGATAACTGACGCACAGCAGATTCGGAAAGTACGTTTTTATTTGAGTCATAAACTGGTTAGAAAGTGGTGAGTCTGTTGAGGCAGGGACAGTCATGGGAGGAACGGTATTGTCGTCCAACTGGTTTGACTGACTGAGGCGTCATAATGAACTGGCCACATTGATATACAATACATAAAAGGTCTTGGACACAGTAGGTGGTTTCTTTGCTACCTTGGGCACACCTGTAGAGTTACACCTAAAGAATGGGAAGTTGTCTGTGTAGGACACCACCGTTATTGTAGTGTGTTTTGCCTGTCCACTTTTGTTGCTAACCGGAGTTAAATAATCCAGCCAAGAAGCCATGAGTCCGCTTTGCAAGCGTCTGTGTGTGTGTCTCTTGACGGTTCACGTGTGCAAATGTCTTCTGTCACTACAATATCTGATCAGTTAGTTTTATCGCACTGTGACAACTTTTACAATGGTAAAGAAAAATTTAATTACATATAAAAGTATAATGCGGGGCAGAGAGGGATGATTTTTCAAAAGATTACTTAAATAATATTTTATGTGTTGATTTCCTTGATGTATAGGTTGTGTAGGTACAGTAGTTGCTTGTTTGCTTGGGTGCACTAGAGTGGCCACATCTACCAGAGACAAATTGCTTGTATTTTTAACATTCTGATGAAAATCATTCTCCAGTTAAAAACAGCAACAACAACAAAAACAAATATGTGACTTTTGTTGTTTAAAATACAAGAATAAAACATGTCTTGGTGTGCTGATATCTATTCAAAGCAAATTAAGTGGAGAGTTTTTGCATGTCAGTTTTGTCCAGCATAGGGCAGCATGGAGCTGCATTTAACAGCATTGGGCTTTCATCACTCTTGAACTTGTAGTATAATGAACATCTGCAGCCTTTTAAGATCTTGTTTATCCATCTGTCCGTCTGCAATTCATCCAGCTACCCATCCATCCATCGAACCAGCCATAGTAATGTATTCATTAAAATTAATGAATGCATGCCTAGGTTCAGCAGCAGTTGGATTTTTATTTTCTCAAACATCATGGCTATAAATTCCAAAGCATGGCAAAGTTTTGTGCAAGCATTTACGGGTTAAACTTAAAAACAAAAAAAGGAAAATATCTCAAAAAATTGATGTGCTAGAAAAAGAGTAAGGACTTTTTTTTTTAAATCTGTGTCAAAAATACAAATAGGAACACATAAAGCCTTCTTTAATTAAAATTTGCTCTTGACCAGTGTAATATAACAAAGATTACAAATAATATAACCAGAATCAAACACTACACATTTGTGATTTCCACAGTGTGCCCCTACACGGGATTGTACAGACAATCACTTGTGTTTGGAAGATATTTTAGGCAATCATATGCGTGTGAGAATAGTTTGGGTAAGGTCCTTTTCTGTTCCAGCAAGACAACATGCCCTACAAAGTAAGGTCCCCAAAAGAGTGCTTAGGTGAGTTTGGTTCGACAAAACTTGCCTGGGTCTGACCTATTTGCCATCAGACACATTTGCAACAAATGCTTTGTTGTCTGATGCTCAGTCTGTGTAATCATACAGTAGCATGGTCGGACCTATTGAGTGGAGTCGTCTGAGTGGGAGCCACATAATCTGGACAGCCGAGAAACAGGACGCAAACAACACGCAACAGAAACTGGCATCTAATCACAAAGTCCTTGCCCCACATGTTCAAATTTATCTATGACGTACAATTGTTGTTGTGATTTTAGACAGATAATGAAACACTGTTTGTTACATCATGTTAAAGTTCAAACATGGCAATGCAGATAGCTCATTGACAGACACATTCGGCTGCTAACACAATACGGGAAGAGTAACCCCGATGCAAACATCTTAAGATGGCAAAATGTAGCTTGCACCTTTTGTCTGAAGTAAAGGAGGTTTAACTGGGCCTCACCTATATCAGATGTTTCAAATGGACACAGCAAAAAACGTTAAGAACAATTTAAACTTGCTTGAAGTCAGTCATGGTCCAATGGTGCAAAACTCACATGAGCAAGCCTTACAATTTGGAGGTAGATCCCGGAGAGATGCAATTTGTTTCTTGAGCAAGGCAAGAAACCCTCAACTGCTGGCATGGTGTTCCTAACGTACTCACTATTTTCATTTCATACATCAGCTACTGTATTCGGAAGCATATTTGAGTCCCTTGACAGGCACTATGTAAATCTGATTGATTACTCCAGTATTGTTATGCTTATTATTATTATTATTATTATTATTATTATTAGGGTGCAACATAGTTTTTCCCTCATTCTCCAACACTATTAGTATTATATAACATGCCAGCTTCACTCTGAAATGATTGAGTGAAGATTGAAACCTAGATTCATACGACTGTGATACAAGTGCACTGACGAAGTGCTCTGCTGTGTTTTAATTTGACTTGTTTTTAGGAAAACTACACACTCAGTGAAGTAAAATAAACGATCAACAGTGCTTTTATCGATTAGTGGTATTCACAAGTCATCATGAGATGATAACACTTGAAAAAAACAAAACAAAAAACAAAAAGAATTGTCTTCATTCGGCGCCATGGCTGTGCAAAGTTAGTGCTTAACATATTCTTACGAAGAACGTGTTTCGTTTTCCACCTGCAAAGAGCCAAATAGGAGCTACGTAATTACGTCGTCGTAAAGCGTCAAAACGTCACTGCCTACGTCAACGTTTAGCCAAGCGCGCCTGCGCTATTAATAATAATAATAATAATAATAATAATAATAATAGTAATAATAGTAATAATAATAATAGTAATAATGCACTGTAGGCATCTGCTAGGCAACTTAGCATAGCGTCGATTATACTTATATGTACTCCATAACAGTCATGGGGACAGGGACATGCAATGAGCAAACACATATCTTTCTTTATCATTGTAGATGATCACGAGGCTGGCTGCGAGTCGGATATCGCAAGCTATTTGGGCACATCCGGGATCTCTCTTCTGGTGGGACACAATTGTGCCAGAGTTCACCTCTCAACAGTTGGTTCAAACTTCCGCGTGTCCAGGGAGTCATTCCTCTACATCTGCGATCGTCATGACAACCCCGCCCCCGGCCCCCTGACGTAATTGGTGTCAGAGTCTGGCTCAACAAATAATTGGGGCCAGTTTAAGGACCAGTTTCAACCACCAGAGCTAGTCCTAGAGCCAATTACATTCCAATGAGAAGCCTAGCAGGATTGACTCTTTAAAGTGATCTATCTGTTACGGTACCAGACACAAATTTATATCCTGACCTAAAAAATGTCAGTACATCATCTCTCTTGAAGTTTTTTTTTTTTTTTTTTTTACATGAAACAAGTTTTCCTCAACTGCTTCCTTCACTTACTTGTGTGTTTGTGAACATAGACAAGATCAAAAGGACAGAAACTCAAAAACTGACAAGAGGATACCCTGAAATGAAGATTTTATTAAGATTTTATATAGGCGGGTCTCTTTTCATGGCTTAAGGAACCAACACAATGAAAACTCAAGCCACACAACAGGTGCAGTGAATCAGTTGAAACAAACACAAACTGTTCCCTGATATTACAGTGGCATGAAGACACATAGACATCATGTCCTGCCGAACAAATTCCTCAGTGTCTTTTTGTGTTTGGTTGCTTCATCTCATCTGTTGTTACATTGTTGAACCAAACGTGAGCAGATGGTTGGAGGATGGTTTTTCCCACTGGCTGAATCATTTGTGTATCCTGCAGATAAGAAATTTCTGTGCTACACCACAGACACGACAGAATTGGACGAGTACACTCTCGTCTCACTGCAAGGGACGAAATGTGAACGCATGAAAGTTAAATTGCTGGCTTTGTGAATGTTACTAATGCACATCAGAATCTGTCCTTGAAGCTATGCTGATACTGTAGACAGCCACAAGGCACCTGTTCTAAAATACAGAACTACTCACTGTTACGGCTGATTGTTATCAACTTTAGTTTAGCATATCATTCTACAGTTCTAAGACTCATGCGGATTGTGGATGTGCCGTTAACTGTATATCATTTAGTGCAAGGCATATAGTGTGCGTACACTGTTCATTTATTATCAACATCACTTATCTGTTCGGTGGAATTCACACCTCGTCGGTCCGACGCATACAACTGCCTTTTCAATTAAAGTACATTCAACTGAGAATCACTTCATTTATCATCAGTCAAACATAATGCTAAAAAACAGTGAGAAACACCAAAAAAAATTTGCACTACAGCGGTCATTGAAAGTGTTTTTATTACTGACAATTGACATACTGTTCATCCAACAACAGTCAGATGCCAATATTTTCTCTGTTCTGTGGAGAAAAAAAGAACTGCTTTAGTTTGATGAATGTCTGCTGCTTTCGGACATCGTCAATCATCTTAACTCTTGTCACACTCCTGCCACCATCAAGATGTGCAGAGCAGAAAGAGGCAGCACAGTCTGTGTAAAAAAACATCACTTTGTGTGATTTATAAATGTGTGTGTTATCTTATGGCGGCCTGGTGGGCGAGTGGTTAGCGCGTCGACCTCACAGTGCAGAGGTACCGGGTTCGATTCCACCTCCGGCCTCCCTATGTGGAGTTTGCATGTTCTCCCCGTGACTGCGTGGGTTTTCTCTGGGTTTCCTCCCATATTTCACAAATATGCATTACAGCCTGATTGACTCTTATAAATTGTCCCTCGGTGTGAGTGTGAGTGCGGATGGTTGTTCGTCTCTGTGTGCCCTGCGATTGGCTAGCAACCGGTTCAGGGTGTCCCCCGCCTATCGCCCGAAGACAGCTGGGATAGGCTCCAGCACGCCCCACGACCCTTGTGAGGATAAAGTGGATCGGAAAATGGATGGATGGATGGATGGATGGATGTTATCTTATGATCCACAGAAGGCCCCCAAGTCAGGTCCAAGCTTGAACGTAACTGCTGTGAGGCAGTAGTGATAACCACTTTACACCCACGCTGCTGGAGTCATGATTATGTACAGCAAGATTTTAAAAAAACACTTGAGACATTTTTGCAAGTAGATATGACATATCGTGTAGATGTTAATTGCACATATTTATTCAGAACATCATTCGGGAGCAATTTAATTGCTCGAGCAAGTGAATGAAATGGAGGATCTGTATAAAGGTGAATACATTATCTAGCTGTGATGCAAGCAATCTACAGGAGACAGAGCTCCTTTATGATCTTATCAGACCAACAGTGAACATTTGTTACTTTGTTGTGGACTCGTGAAGGCCAGAAATTGCATCTTGCTTGAATGGAGTCGCTTCTTATCCAACATTGAAATCTGACCACTCGTTTTATGATGCACACATTTATGTTATTTGCATGTATTGTACTGTATGTGAAGTGAAAATATCTTTATATGCATACAGTTTGTGGGAAAGATGTCGTTCCATCATGTTCTAAAACTCTGAACCAAGCAGTCAGATTAAAGATTTTAGGGGCAATTAAAGTTACATTATTAAATATTTGACACAAGTGCTGAACATGAAGAAAATGATTTTGGATGTCTCTCAAGACAAGGCCAACGACTGCACAGAAGGCTGCCATGCCTGCTCAAGAATTGGCCTTAGGCAGCCTTGGAATGTCATTTTTCCCTGTTGCGAAAATGTGAAGGTTTTTTTTTTTTTCACGGTATGTACAAGCTGGAAAACTGTACTTGGTTGGAATGGCAGTAGTTGGTTGAAATAAAATAAAAGCTCCTCAGCTTTAAAAAAAAAAAAAAAATCCCTCCGACCTCTCACCTATTGGCCTATGTGCTAGCTGCATAGGTGTCACGGTTGCGAGGTGGTGTTGGACCCAAAATGCAGGCAGGAGGGAGGAGCAGGGTGTACTTGAAGAATTGTATTAAAACAGAGAAAACTAAATCCAAAGCAAACAAAGTCCAAAGTATCAAACAAAACACATGACCGAAGATAAAACATAACAATGACCAAAACCTGACTGAAACAAACATGACAGTAGCACAAAGCAACAGCAACAAACAAACATGACAGTGGCAAAGAGCAACAATGACCCGACAATGATTGCTCGGGCTGGGAGTCCTTTTAAAGCCACTAATTACCTAATGACCAACAGGTGTGCAGCTGCAGGGAGAGCCCTACAGTGCCACCTGTTGGTCCCAAACCGAATCATGACAATCGGGTAATATGCTACAAGGTATGTGTTATGTATAAATTGAATACAGATAAGGGGATCGCAATTACATAATTTTGATAATATCACCGCTTTCTAAACAATGCAAGCCCTGCTTGGTTCTTTGCTACAATGGCCTTCTGAACTCTAGGAAAAGGACTAGATAACTTCAGTCTCGTTATAAAATGATCAGTTGTTTTCCATGTCACCGAGACTCTAAGTCAAAACATAAGGTCATGTTGTGCTAAACAACATATTGTTATGAATTGTCGGCCAAGTAAAAACCGTAACCCGTAACGCTTGAAGTTGCTCAAAAAGAAACCACTCAATCATGTTGTTTTCCTTCAGATATTCGTTCTTTTGATGATAACAATTCGATCAATACATAAGCAACATCAACACCTTTTAATCTCAACAGTCATACCATGTTGTCTAAGAAAAATAAATATTTTTTAAAATATATACAACCCAGATATGCAATGTTTGATAAGGTATAAGAACAGAAAAAAGGCCTGCATACACATTAAAATAAGATAAAAACATTTGAGATAATGTACAAAAAAAAAAAAATGTTATCAAAGTGCATGTCATAATAATTAACAAATATTTGAGAGACAGAAATAAATGTGCCATAAATACAAAGCAGAAGATTGGACTAGGAATAGAGCAGCAGCTGGAGAATTATTTGCGACAATTAATTACAATTACATTTGCAAACCCATAATCCAGAAAGGATGCCCAAGACCATGAAGAGCTACTTAAATTTGGCAGGTGTTGGCAAAGTTTGGACAGAATACTGCCGTGGCTATCCGATGCCAGTGAGGACGCAGAGGGGGCGAAACATTTCTGGAAAGGTTCTTACAATTTTTTTAAATGTCCATGGGAATTTAAAATGTGCATTTCTGGAAATTGAGAACGATGGTAATGAGTGAATGTAGAAAACTGGTAAACTGGGTTACTCGAGGGACGACTGCAATTTTAAAAACTGGTTTGAAGGGGAGGGAGTTTTATTCATGTAGCAAGTTTCATAGACAAGACAACTCAATGTGCTTCACACAACCAAAAGCATAACACCTAAAAGCATTTACAAACAAAGTACAACCCAAAGTACAAAACAGTTACATGACATAAACCACACGATGGTGAGGCCAGTCCTACAAGGAGAGTCCATGAGACAGACTCACTCAAATGGTGACAGAACACCGTCGGAAGAGGTCAGCCGGTTAAAAGGATGTCTGTCCTTGTCGTGGCCATCAAGGGGGCCTCCCTTGTCGTTGTGTGCTGTCCGGTCATCTTCCTGCGTGATGAGGCTTTTATTTTGTTCCTATAAGTCTCTCGCTCTGGACTGTCGGGTGGTCCCAGGTGCTGTAAAAGTCTTTTCTGAAAAACTGCTTGGAACTGATAAGCCTGCAAGACAACGATAAGGAACAACAAAGCGTTTCAAGGACTTGGAAAGCAGCGGCTTCTCGGCATCAGATGACCTTGGGCCTTTGTTTGACCTGAACTGATTTGATGGGTTGGCACGGACTTGTTATGGTTCATGCATTATTTGGCGCATGCGTTTAGTTACATTCTCTTATCTGGTAAATGATTATTTTCCTTCGACGTGATCATTTCAACATGCATAATTAAGACATGTTTTGCTCACCTATTTAGGAGGACATTTTTGATCCGTGAGTGGAAACATTAATTATCTTTACTTTCTGTGCTACGACAATGTTGCTTAAGTGCTTCAACAAATTTGTTTAGCTGGTGAGTAAATTACATTTACAAAACTTATCAACTAATTCAACAGCTGAGACATACCAACATTCTGATTTAAGACCTCACAATAGTAGTTCAGTATAAACTTAACTTCACTTTGAAGGTGCATTATTGGATGACTGTTGATATCAAATAAATTGAGAATTATTTTGCTCATCGATGAATAATTTAGAGACCTTTTTTTAATTGATTATTTTCTAAATCCTGGGAATTCCAGCCTCTCAGCAGTAGACAATGATCAATATTTTGGCCTATTTTCTTACATATTGACCAAACCAGGAACTGCATCATAATTAATTTTTGTTTGTGCCTTTGCTGGACTGTCAATTTCAATTAATGTCCTGTTTTTGAATGAAGGGATGGAAATTATGTTTTTTTTTTCTTAAATCTAATTCACTGAGTAATTGACAAAATAATCGGCACATTTATCAATTATTGAAATCATAGTTAGTTTACCACTGGACTTCAGTTACTTCACAGGCTTACACCACGCGACACTTAAATAAGGTTATTGATTGCACATTCGTCCACTCATTCTCAATGACAATATTGGTGGACATTGACAGGAATTGAAACCTTGAATTGTACCAGCCTGCGCATTCATACTGTCATCAGCTTTCAGCTGTCTGTCGTTCATGTCAGCTGATAGCATCAATACTCATGGTGGTAAAATGAACATTCAGGCACAACAAATGAAAATGGTACTCTCCAATAGAAACAAATTAAGTTGTATTAAATAATAGAGTTGAACGTGATGATGATTATTTCAATCATATTTATTTCTCACGTTTGATATGTCTCACGTGACAGGTGGATGAACTACTCTGGTTTTGCATCAAGCGGCAACAAGCAATCGTTTCTAGTTGTATGGATTCACCCAGACTCGCGTTCATTTTCGATGGCAATCATTAGGATCACGGGTGAGCTGGAGCCTATCACGACTGACTTTGGGCTTTGTATCGACGTGCTGATACATGGATCCTCACTCGCTAAGCAAGAATCATGCTTTTATAGTCAATAAATGCAGTTCTTACCACTTCCGTTTGTTGTGTGGTGAGGCTTTCAATACTTGTACTTGTACTTGGCCATGCTGTAGTCGGCTGTTGCTTCTTTGCCTTAGCACAATACATCTCCAAATGATGCAGGTCACAGCCATTTGAGCGGCAGCATTTGTCCACAATCCCCTTCCCTCTGGGCCGAGAACCATAACCAGACCATGTCCCTTTCCCTGTCATAAGACAAACACAATCCATCAGGGTCTGGTTTTAAAGTCGGCATACTATCAATATCATGGAAGTCTTGGCTGTAAATGTTCTGGACAGCGCTTTGTGACTGCTGCAGGCAGCTATTGTGAAAGCATGATATCAATAAAAATGCATTATGTGATATTGTCTAAGCTGCAAGATAAGGACAAGGTTTACTGACATGCACATTTTATTTTCTTATACTAATCCAATACAGAGACAATGACAATGCCAAGCAAAAAATTGGCCATCCTAAATCAAGTAATGAGCAACAAAATGAGTTGAATGCGGTTAGATTATTGGTTTGATTGATGATGCTTTCCACACCGATACAATGTTGACTCTGAAGCAACAAAATCCAAACATGGTACTATTTAAAATAGGCTCCATAGTTGGGGTATTGCCGTGCAGGCAGTGTTAGTGTTAGCCAGCGCTGTTCTCTTTCTGTCTCTTTTTTTCCCTCCTGTACCTTTCTCTGAAAACAAAGCTGCTCTCAGATAGCAAGTGCTGCAACAATAATGCTGTCACACTATGTGGCACGGTGTACTGGTGGGTTTGCTCCCATTTTGAAGTATTGCCACCACTTTGATACCAGATGGAGACCGCGGCCTCGGTCAGAAGAGGAGAAAGGTAATGGGGTGAAAGGGCCCGCGGGTGACGTTTGGTGTGCAAACGTGCAATGAATTAATCCTCATTGCAACATTTGGTATGGATAAAAATGTACTTGGGACTGGCAATGCATGTGTGCCTTGTAACTTGCTGACCATATATATAGTGGACAACTGCCAAGTAAACAATCAAAGAATGCTCTAACATGAAATTTACACCTCACTCCGGTGTCTCAAAAAATAAAATAGGAATTATGTACACGGAGCACTTTTTGTCAAGTGTTTGTAGACATGCATCAAAAATGTGCCACAAGATGAGTGGTTTTGTTGTCGGTAGATGTAAATACTAAATATATTTGGGTCAGCATTAGTAAAACTCTTTATGTCATTTCAAAACAGTCCCCCGGAAAGGATTAAATATCAGTTACGCAACATAAATCATGAAGGCGCACGTACCTAAGTAGAGTCCACGATCACCACACACAAACAGGAGGTCATTGAGGAGTTCCGAGCCGCAACGAAGCTTGGCTCCCTCGCAGCAAAGAGGCCCGCTGACCAGGCACATGGTCGAGCAGAACATGCACAACACCTGAGGACAACAGGGGAAAAAGTGTTGAAATGAAACCCCTTTTTCTCTGTGTAGGATGTTGCTTGAATGGGATTTCAGTCCAAACACATTATTTGTGCTCTCTGTGTGATTTATAACATTGAATTTTTGGAACAGTAATGGTGTTTTTTTTTTTTAATGGAAAAACACCACAGATCAAATCACAATGGAACACAAGTTACCCGACACATCCATAGGGTAGCGTAATATTGTATGCGCATCAGGATTTTATGTGCATATGCAAAGTGCCGGTGATCTTAACAATCAAACCTATTTGAGGAGTATGTCAACTAAACGAGCAGGTGTCAAAGGATTCCCCAAATTGTTTTCACGGCCTTAGAATTTTGCACAAGTATAAATAACGCAGTGAATTCTAGATAAGTACGTAAATTATTTGGCAATAGTCTACATTTTGTAAAGATTCTGGAGCCAAACAACATGTGATCACATTCATGCTATTTAAACATGCAGATGTTTGATTTCAGTACAAAGTTTGGGGCTTTTATTTTTTGGCTTTCAGCAAAATAATCTAAAAGTTGGAATTGAAATAAAATTACGTTGAAACGTTTGAGTGTGAACTCTTTTCATTTCAACAAGATATTGTCATTTTAGATTCTAAGGTAAAACGGCACCAAAAAGAGAGTTCGATTTGATCCGAATGCACAGCAAGAATAGCAACAGCTACAAAATACTGTTTAGACATTGACATTTATATTTCACAAACAAACAAAAATTCTTACCTTCAATGGCAGTGGTCTCCCTAAAGAACAATGTGAGGAGTTCATCCTGCCTGTACAGAGTGACTTGAGCGCAACTTCAGTACTGTATTATAGTCTGACTGGAGGAGTGGAGGAAGGACCGCAGCACACAGAGATGGCCTTCCTCCATTCCTTTGCACATTTGTTTTCAAATCTCATCTGATTCTCCTATCAGATGATTCAACATTCGGTTACAGGGACTGAACTTGTTGTAAAATGTTCCTTACTATCATTTGTCATAACATGATACAGTGGATTCAAAAAGTTAACAAGCCTCTGTTAAATTGGTTTTGAGACGCCGGCGAAACCAACACGAATCATGCTGAGGTTGTTTCGAAAATGGGATTTGTACAACTTGAGGGATTTTGGACTGAAGACGTTTCACTCCAATATTGATCACATTGACTGAAACCCCTCACAGTGATTCTGACCTTCACCTTGGGTATGATGTTGTTTAGGTGATGTGCTGTTATTCTTGCGCCAAACAAACTGAAGCATTTGGAATGTGCAGCTCTTCAATGTCACTTCAAGCCCTTTGGCAGCCTCCCTCACCTGTTACCTTCTTATTGTTGAATAATTTGTCGATGGACGTCATCCACTGTATCTGTCCATCCATTTTCTACATTGTTTACCCTGTTGAGGGTCGCATGGGACCGGAGCCTGTTCCAGGAGTGTGAAAGGCAAACTATACTTCGAACTGGTTGCCTGTCAATCGCTGGGCAAGTAGAGTATCTCATTAACATGAGCGCACTTCAGATTTTTGTAAATATATTCTTACATCTTTTTATGTGATTTCTCTTTAGACATTTCACTGCGGGGTGTACTCGCTTTTGTTGTTAGTTAATGGCTGTGTGCTGACTTTTGTCGAGGGGAAAGTAAATTTACACAGCCTTCGAGCTGGACACAGACTACATTTTTACAAAGTGTCATTCCTTCAAATTCAAGTCCAGTGTATGAACTGTTGCACTGTAAGTGAGCTGATACGACTAGATGTCATAATAAACATATCAGCTCAGGATTCGCAAGTTAAGTGTCTGTTTTTCAAGTGGCAAACAATTTCATGTCATGTATCTATGTTCTAAGGTCTGCAGCCTTTTTCTATATGGGGAAAGAGTAAACATCTGGAGTGATTGTGAATTAATATCACGCCAACCATTTAGCGACACCAAAAAACGTTTCACTGTTTTGAAAGCCATTAAAACAATGTGAAAGTTACTGCATTTTTCCCCAATTAAAATGAAGTTGGATTTATATGGAACAGTTTATGTTTACGATAAAAGGAGGTCCTAGTGCCTCATAGTATGGAGGCTAATACTATATACAGTATGTTTATTATCGAAGTATATTATCGATAGCATTGTCATTTTCTCTTCCATTTAGCAAATACATTTTGAGTTGTAATGCAAAACACTGCCTGTCATGATTACAATTACAGTGAATTTAGACGACAGTACACGCTGAACAGACATACTGTATTTAAATCTTTGACTTTGGAGTACAAAGGATGTCAAATCTAAAACAGATTCTCGAGTACATCTTAACCAAGGAACAGTGCAGTGGGGAATGAAGTCCTTTCAAAACAAAGCAATGAACACTGAAGACTTGAACGGAGTATTGTCGTCATTGATGTTTTACAGCACAAACACGGAGTTCACCCACTCCCCTAACTAACTTTATCACCAACTATCAAGCCCTGTAGATTGGGTCAACCCCTTCCAGATTCCACCGACGAACAGTCTCTCTGTACTGTATTTGATTTATGCACTTGAGAAGTTTTTTTTTTTTTTTTTTAATTGAACTGCTCTGTGAGTAACCTTCACCACCGTGTGGAATATTTGGGTACTTCATCTGTTTCCAAGCCCAGGGCTTGCACTTTGAAGCTTTCATTAGTGTGGCCTTCAAATTTTTATGCTTATCCCTTCTCTATACAAGCCCTACCGCCCTTAGATAATTTAGTTTCCCTATCAGACATAGGGTAGGCCAAAAATACAATAACATATTGTCACGGCTGCGGATTACTTTACTGTATTATTATTCAGTAACAGTTTTTCCCCTACGCAAATAACTCCATCTTTGACATACGAATGTGTCGCTAACAAGTGGGTAGTATAAACATTACAAAAAAAAAACAAAACAAATGCAATCTTTTACTATAACCTTTCAGTGAGAAATGTGTTACCACTCCGGTTCACAATGAATAACACAAAACGAAACCAGATCCATAGCGTAAAACTACCGGTTCTGACTTCACGAGTGTCATGAAGGACACACATTGACATTATAGTGTCAGTCACCAAGCACTAAGCCTCAAGTAGCACGGCGGTATCGCGATGGACACATCTGCCTCCTGCAGTCGAGAGATTCAGGGTTCGAGTTTAACGTTTAAATAACGGAAACGATCACGATTCCATTTTTTATTTCAAACTCAAAGTTCATAAAAGATCACATGAAATTTACAGTAGCGATACATTTAACATAAATTGTGAAATAATTGCATTATAAAATGTAAATTTATCAATCTGTTGTGAAGTAATTACATGATAAAATGTAAACTCATCAATCTGAGGAATGTTCAGGAGACATCCATCCTTTTTCTAATCCGCTTATCCTCACCAGGCTCGTGGGTGTGCTGGAGCCTATTCCAGCTGCCTTCGGGCAGTAGGAGGGGTACACCCTGAACTGGTTGCGAGTCAATCGCTGGGCACACATACATGAACAACCTATGAAAAAATGTCAAATTTGCTGTTGACCAGTGTTATTTGCCGCTTGTAACCTTGAAACCGAGCATGTTAGGACGACTGGGTGTCTACCCTGTAATCAAAGAGCGCTGCTGGTTACAAAATTGTTTTATCATGTCTTTGCAATCATTTCGTCAAAGGTTGTATCCAAGCATCTGGCGAGGAAATATTTTAACAGGAAACCTGTTGAAGAGTGAAAATATTTGTTTTGTATCAGACATTATTTCGAGTTTGCTGTCGACTGCTTCATACCCAAACGCTTGCAATTGTCATATACAACAACAAAAAAAATAGCCATTGAAACAATGACAAAAAGGCATCTACAGTATATGATCTATTGTCACAATTCTTGCTCAATGCAAAAAGGCAACAATCATATTTGATATTAGTACATGTATTTCATTCATGTAAGTGTTCTGGTAGGTAATCTGAGATACAATACATTTAATTAAGTCAAAAAACTGGAGGTTAATGTTAAACAATAACAAAACATCAAAAGTTATTGCAGCGTCTTCAAATATAGAAACAGGACGACACAATTTTCTTATGATGTTAGAACAAAGTTATTTAATGAAAATGCTATCATCAAACTCAAGATGACATAAAAACTTTCAAAAATACACTTTTATAAACATGGTCATAATGAAATCAAAATAGACCTTGGTGCAAATATTTAATGACATCCCTTTTGAGTAGCTGCATAAGAATGTCCCAACTGAAAATGATGGAAAAATGAGAAGGAGATTAAGGGCAATGCTCGAAGGTATTAAATCAGTATATTCAAAGAAAAATATTTTTATTGTGGTCCACTATTAGGACAACTACTAGAACTCCTCCTAGGTCAGTTCTGTTTAAATAATGCTTAAATAAGCACCACCTTCAGTGCAAGTGCTGCTGCATTTTTGATCAACATCAAATGCTTTGTTATTAGCTCATAAACATTAGACTGGCTTGTTCTCTGCTGGCTCCTTTGTGTGCGTGTAGTCAGGTTAGTCCCGCTAAAGTCAAGTGTTTCTTTCTTTCATTTGACCTTTGGCCACCGTTTATTTCGTTTACTCGTGTGGTCTCTTGTCCATGTTAACCTCTGTGACTCTTCGACGCCGGTGCTTGTCTTTGCAGGCAGGCCCAGCGTACCAGGGACACAACATGAACACATTGTGCGCTTCCTTGCCCTTCCCAATCGACTTGTATTTGAATGAGCACCATTCATGTTCTGGGCAGCTAAGTCCTGGGAGTCAGGTGTGTCATTTTCGTCGGAGTTGGGGATATCGTCATCGATTGGCTCCACGTAGCCAACCATTACCCCTGTGTCCAGATCACAGAATACTGTTTTAGGAGAACTTCTGCCAGAATGACATTTTGCTTTCTTAGCTTTTCTCTTACAGTTCAAAAGACAACACTTGAATGAGTGGTTACCTGCAGGGGGACTTGAAGCGACAATGTCTCCTGATAGTTTTGTTCTTCTGACATCAAGTGGACTACTGCTGCGGTGATGCTGTTTTGGATTAGAACGGTACTGCATGAAAAGGTCACTTTCTTTCAAGAGGTTTGTGGTTTCCTGAATGTCCTCTCTTGGCCCCTTCTGTGCAGGCTCGTTGAGTCCAAGACCAGATGATCCGAGATTAATTCTCTGCAGGCGAATTCTCACATCAGCTGTAACCCCAAACATTTGCCTGAGAAGGTGGTCAGATGATCTGCAAACTGGTAGTGCATTTGAGGAACCCTAGAAGTGAAAAAAAACCCAAACAAACAAAAACACCCACACAATAATTATAAAATGTCATCTTGGTTGCATATTCCATCATAAATAACTGACCAAAACCATCAATAGAAAAGGAAGAATAGAATCTCTTACCATTTAACTTATACCGAATCATTCATGGAGAATACTTTTGGCACAGCTTTTGATATTTCCAGTAACAATTGAAACTCAACTTTATTTGTTATAGCACTTTACATCGCGCCCTCAACCAGCATTTTCTTCGTCTCATCCAAACCAGGTCCTTGAAGGCTGCTGCACTGCGTGTTTTATACGCCTAACCTATTTCACACAACTGATTCAAATGATCAGGATTGTGATCAGGCTTCTTCAGAGCTTGCTGATGAGTTGATCGTTTGAATCAGGTATGTTGGAGTAGGGAAACGTAAAACATGCTGGACAGCGGCCCTCGAGGACCGTAGCAGGACATGCTAGCTTTAAAACAACCATTGTTGCATACAAAAAGCTGCACACGGAGTAAAAATCAGTCATACAATAACAAGAACAGTGAAAACAGTAAATCAATAACACAAATAAAAAATGTGTCTAAAAATTGTGCATATATCATTTGGGATTTAAAATCCCAAACATATTTGTGGATCTGAAACACACGTGAAACCCACGTCTGTATTTGTGTGAAGAATGTTGAGAAAAATCACTCCCCAATCGTTTGTGGGTGTTATATTGACTGCTTATGATGGAGTCCCGGTCATAATTAGCAAGTGTGCTTACCGTTTTGCTCTGATTGGGTTTCTGGCTTCGGCCAATGGAGCTTTCACATGTCAGTTGATCATGGGTTGTGTCAGAGCAAGTGAGGGTTGTCCTCTTATGTTCAGTCTCTTGGTCCAAGGTCCGTGTGCTTGTTTCCTTCTCCAGTGTTTTTTCTACCAAACTTTCAATTGGCACATTTTCAGACTTGGGTGGAATATATGATACAAATATGACATTATCTTCATCCAAAGAAGGGTCTGACTGCAGTGTTTGACTCAAGTCATCTGGATAATCATCAGTGCAAAGATCAATCACTTCATTTGGCTCCTTTGGAGTGATACTACTCGAGTGTTGCAAGAGTGAAAATGACGATCCTGGAACTACAGGATTTTTTAGCTGGCAACTTTTTTCCTTGCTCTCCACTGGTGATGAAGGGGCGTCCTTTTTGGCTGCGAAAAACATCCTGCCATCGCACATGACCAGGGCTTGCTGCTGATGCGTTTCACTTGTAGTTAAGCCTGGCAGAGAAACAGGTGCCACTTTTTCAAGCACTCCAAACTTGTTGCTTCGTTTCATGGTTTGAAAGGTTTTTGATGGAATAGAAGGAGAAGGTGAAAGGTCAACAGCAGACTCATTAGAGTGGATTTCTTCAATTACCCACTTCATAGGGCTATTGGGCCTCTGGGAAACCTTAGGAATTAATTTCAAGTGTGATTTGGGTGATCCCAGTGAAAGTTCTGAAACATATGACGAAACATTGCTTTGACAGACAGTTGTCTTAGATGACACAGTGGGCACAATGGTCGAATCTGAACTTGAAAGGGAGTTGGATGAGGACAGCAAAAGCTGTTTCTTAATACCTGAGTGAACTTCAGAAGCGGAAACTGATCGCACCTGACTTTTGGGACCTCTGAGGGATGTTTGTGGTTCTTCAGTCCGAAGCGGACATGTATTTAATGAAATACCAAGCTCCAGTGCTTGACCAGCTACACCAAGTTGACAAGGCAAGCCATTCGCAAGGGAAACCTGATTGCCCGGAGTTTGTTTCGTAGCTAATGACGTCACGGCCGTCTTTATTCCAAAGGGGACAGGTGCTGAAACATTTTCCCGTGTTTTATGTTTGATGACTTGTCTTTGAACACATTTCCCATTGACCATCTGAACTGGAATCAATGTCATGATATTTCTTCCATCAGCACCAATGGCAGGCAAGGCCTGGTAGAAAATCCCAGTCCCTCTGAGAAAAGTAAAACGAGCAAAGAAAAAGTTGGTCAGTTACAGTGACATTTTGTCACAGTAAGATGTACGATGCAATATTGATGACTTTGGCATATCATTTGCAACGAACGCATGTGTTTTGAGTCAGTCAACACAAACATGGAGAAATAAAAGGAACAAAAATGCTTATATTTTAAGTAACAGTGTCTTTTCGTGTCTCCCACGAGCGGCACACGTCATAATGCCTATGATTCAAGTTGGTTACTTTACCTTTGCGCTACATTGTCTTGCTGAGGTGCGGAATACATGACTCGATCAAATAAATTTGGAGAGCGGCATGCTAACTCCAGGAACAAGCTAACGATTGCAGGCAGGCAAAATAAATTAGTTCAGCATCCACGTTTGCCTATCGTTGTTCTGCCATTGGATCTGTAAAGCTCCTCCAGACTCAACGACAATTTGGATAAGCCAATAAATACATCACTGCCTTCGTTCACAACATCATGAGCCACTCTGTCGTTGTTGTGTTTTTCTTCTAAACTTAGTTTTATTAGTGAGCAAACATCCTGTGGTGTGTATTAGCGCCACCTTCTGGCTTGGAGACCTGACGCATCATGGAAACATAACGCCCGTTATTTTATTTGGCCACCCAGCATTTAGTTACATATTTGTTACATTAATGCATCTGTTCCCCCCCC